GTAATTATCAGCACCCAGACTCTAAGTGGTATTAAACAGAGTGATAAATACCGACGGAGTACATATTTATTCCCATTCATAAATACCTTTTCGGTAAAAAAAAATCATATAATTCGTTCAAAACATCCCGATTTTGTTCAACAAATTCACTTTATGCTTTTTGAATCACCCCTCCTGCAAAATAATGGAGTGTTCAGCTGGCGAGTAAGATGAAAACAACCCTTTTATGGAGATTGACGCGCGCGTATCATGTTCTATGCGATGTCGCGCAGAACGCACCTGGCGCGTTGCGTTTTGAATTTAGAACTATAAAATTCTAACTCCCTGGTAGTGTTGCGCATGCCTACGTGAGGATTGTGAACGTTCAACCAATGAAACGATAAGAGGCACTGGATTTTTAGGAGTCCACATTTTATTGTGACACTGGAAAAGTGTTTAAGACCAGCTAGCCATGTCTTTATCATCCGTTTAATACCGGCCACGTGACGGGCTCTCGACCAATAGGAATGGCTAAACTGTCTGAGGTATTTATGAATATCGTTTAATACCAAACAATCTTCTACTTGACGTTGTTTTAAACGAAATTCTTTTTAATGACGCCCTCAGCGGTCAATGTTGTAATGGCGGACTTTTTTAATAAGAACATTACTGACGCATTGCCGGTTTAAAAAAAAAAAGGTCCTTTTTTCATTCTACATGTACACAAAACCACAAGCATCGTGTGTTTCAGTTTGTGCACAAGCCTTATCAGACGGCGTATCACAGTCAATTGACTTTGGCAAAAACCTCATCAGAAAGAATAAGTAAAGACAGAAGTACCGGCACAACTTTTTGTGTTCGTAATGGGACGGTGGTCATCTCGCTAGTGGGCTTTTAAACAGAACTTTTCATCCAAATGGGGAAGACACCTTGGAAATATCCAATCAGTTTGGAGATTATACTTAATAGGTTTCTTAATAAACGAACACCCTTTATATTTGCAAAAAGGCAGCTAAATACGGACAACAGGCCATAGAGTGTGACACTTGTAATGCGTGAATTCACAGGAACTGTTTGGGGATGCAGGAAGAAATCTACAATGTTCGTGTTGAACATCCATCATATTCTTGGTCGTGCTGCCATTGTGGCTTAGCCAATTTTGACTCCTCATTTTTCGCCAATTCAAGTATTGACTTATCCACTAGTTTTGAATCACTTAGCTCCATATCAGACGTTGGATCAGAACATTCGGCACCCTTGACCAATGCTCACAGTCATATTAGCCCTAAAACGTGTAGCCTCAAGTGTAGTAGGGAAAGCACCAAAAGAAGTACATGTAACAAGCCAACAAAAGCCCAGACTCGCCGGAACAGACAGGAATTTTTGAAAATCCTTAATTTAATCTGTCAGAGCGAAAAGGCTAAACTTGCCAATTTTCAAGCACTGTTACAGGAGGAAAATCCTGATGTAGTGATTGGACAGAATCATGGCTAGATGAGAAGATCGCATCTGGGGAAATTTTCCCCTCTCGCTTTCATGTCTTCAGGAAGGACAGAGCTAGTGATCCCCATGTGGGAGTATTCGATGCAATTAAAAATACGTACATCGCATCTGAAGAAAAGGATCTGGACAGAAACTGTGAGATACTGTGGGTTAATACCATTCACGTTAAGGGTCTCAAGCCAATGAACATCGGTGCATTTTACCGTCCACTCTCTTCAACTCCGGAATATCTACATGAACTGGATCAATCCCAACTAAAATTCCAAAAGCTGCTTCCGTCTGGCTACTTGGGGATTTTAATCTCCCCGATATCAATTGGGAGATTAATGCCTTTTGTCCTGGAGGAAGGTACCCAGCAAGCAGCAAGATCATGTTAGAGATCAAGGAAGATCACAATCTTACTCAAAGCATCAACAAACCAACCAGAGAAAGTAACATTTTGGATCTGTGCTTCGATCGTTAGTCACCCAGCTTTTGTAGAGAAGCAGCAGTAATATGTCACAGCAGGAATAAGTGATCATGACGTCGTCATTGTAAATGCAAAAATTTCTGCGATGTTGGTCAGACCACCTAAAAGGAAGATATTTTTATACAAGAAGGCCAATTTTCTTGCAATTGATGAACTGACCTCTAACTTCAACTCCAAGTTGACCGAGGATTATGTTGCTAAGGAGACACCGAACGGTTGTGGTCGGAGTTCCAACTCACACATCTCTACTAAAATGAGTTCAACCAGATACCATCTTCCATGGGTTGATCCATCAATTAGGCGTTCCATCCGTAAATAGAAACCACTGGAGGACATACTGTGTCACTAGCTGCAGACAAAGCTCAAGCACTGAATGCCCAATTTTGCTCAGTCTTTACAAAGGAAAACACTGACAACATGCCAACACTGGAAACAAACAACATCCCTGACATTGGCAACTTCAATATCACAGCGAATGGAGTGCAGAAGCTGCTTGCAGATATTCAACCTAAAAAAGCCATGGGACCAGATAATATTCCTGCCAACGTTTTGCAAAGGTGTGCTGAAAGTTTAGCTCCAGTTATTCAGGGGCACTACCTCAGGACTGGCGTAACGCCAATATCATCCCTATCTACAAGAAAGGCGACAGGACCAACCCAGCAAATTACCGGCCTGTGACGCCGACTTCTATCCCATGCAAACTACTGAAACACATAATACTCCATCATATAATGGATCACCTGGATCGCCACCACGTTCTTTCAAATCGACAGCATGGTTTTCGACGGGGGAGATCCTGTGATACACAGCTCGCAGGACTGGTAGATGACCTCGCAAAAACACTGGACAAGAAAAGCCAGGCTGATATGGTGATATTAGACTTCAGCTGAGGGCTTTGACAAGTTCCCCATAAACGGCTCCTGTGCAAACTAAAAAAATATCGGCATCAGCAACAGCTTCCTGGAATGGATGAAGATCTTCCTTACTGACAGGCAGCAGAGTGTTCTCGTTGAAGGATCTTCATCATCTGAATCATCAGTAACTTCCGGAGTACCCCCAAGAAACCGTGCTGGGTCCCTTGCTGTTTTTAATCTACATAAATGACCTTCCAGCCACAGTTTCACCACAAGTAAGACTCTTCGCGGATGATTGCATCATGTTTAGAGAGATAAAATCACCCCAGGCCAGTGAGCTACTTCAAAAAGACATCGACTTACTCTGTAAATGGGAAGACAAATGGCAAATGTCATTCAACGGTTCAAACTGCTACACCATGCATGTTTCTCACAAAACCAACCCACTCGCCAGGGAGTACAACATGAATGGGAGGGTACTTCAAAGAGTTAAGCATCAACCATACCTGGGGGTAGAAATCAGCAACAATCTTAATTGGGCCTGTCATATCAACCAAACAGCAAATAAAGCAAATGAAATGCTTGGGCTTCTGCAACGAAATATCCATTTCTGTAGCAAAAACGGTTAAGGACACTGCTACAAGACGCTGGTTCGCTCTAAGCTGGAGTATTGTGGAGCCATCTGTGATCCATACCATAAAAACAACAAGGTGACTCTGGAGAAAGTCCAACGTCGGGCAGCCCGCTTTGTACTCGACAACTACAACTACAGAGACAGCGTCTCCAACATGCTGTCTGACCTCCAGTGGGAATCCCTTGAAGAACGACGCACCAACGACTCCGTCTTACTGCTATCTACAAAGAGGTTTACAACATCACTCCTCCAAACATCCAGCTACAAAGTAATAACAATAGCACCACAAGACAAAATGCCGGACCACACATCATAGTTCCTCCACCCTTCAACAAGACATGCTATCAATACTCAATGTACATGTGCCCAAGATCAGCCAGAGAATGGAACATGCTCCCACCAACATCCGTGAAGCACCCAACATTAAGACATTCAAATCCAGTTTGGCAGATATTAACCTTCCAAGTTTAGTTACCAAAGCGCACTTCAACATTAGCTTGCTACACTTCCACACTGACCTGTGCGTGATAACCGCCAAATGGAGGTGATTGTACAGTATTGAGCAGAAGCAGAAAAAGCAAGCAGAAGACGACATATATACATGTACATGTATATCTGAATCAATTACCGGCAGCGGGCGCAATAAATTCGCGCTCGAGGGTTCACAAAATGTCTACGCGAGCTCATTTGCATCAAAAGTGCCACCCAGCAACATTTTTGGAAAAAGAGGAGACCGTCTGGTTTTAAAAAAAAAACAGTGAAATTGTGCAAATATATAGCCGAGGATCAACTCCCTAGCTTTTGGGCTATTATCTGAGGGCAGATTTGATAAAATTACGGTCGAAAATGGGTCATATTTTCCCGAGAAAATGTAGGGATGTCATTTGTACATGTAAATTTGGCTTCACGCAGGGTTGGCCAATATAGAGAGACACAAATTATAGTTACATTTGTATATATGTGACTGCAGTGAGGAAATAATTCACACAAGACACATTTGTATGTTTTTGGAGATCAACTCAGTCAATTTAATTACCAGTCCATATTAAACTCCTTTGATGTATGTGCAGATACATTTTAATATAATTATTAGACACTAATTGTATTTTGGGGTTTTGTTATTGCAGATTGAACCGCACAAACTTGTCACACAGTTGTGAGCACATATTTTGCTACTTTTTGGTAGGCCCTACAATGCAAGGGCAGAGATAACGATATGTCATCTATTCAGGGGCAGAAGATAACGACATTGTCATCATTGGAATCTTTTCTTTGAAGTCATCTGTCACAGCTACTTAATCATTGGTCCTTGATCCAACTTGCCCAAGGCCGGCTGTGTGGAACTTCATCTGGCACTTGGTTCCTGGTTCTTCTCCTAAATACTCCGCAGGGGAGTTCTAACAGGAGGCCAGAAACACCGGGGCAAACCCCTTCTCTTAGCGATAAGTGTTACTGGGTTCTTTTACGTGCAATGCATTACACAACACACAGGACCTACGGCTTTACGTCCCATCCGAAGGACGAAGCAATAATGTTTAAGTACCTTGCTTAAGGGCACAAGTGTAGAGACCCGGGCTCGCACCCACATTCTGCTGCCTCTGAAAGACCAGAGCATGAGTCTGGTGTAGTGCTCTTAACACTAGGCCATGACACTCCATGACACTCCATGGCATTCAGATATAAAAAAGTGTAAAGTATTAACTCGCTACAGTCCTGGTCGGCATGGAAATAGTGAGTGATGATGTTTTTCTGTTGAATTTGGCTGTGGAGTCGTCGTCTTGTATTATCTCCGGTAGTGGCATACGTAACTCGTATTTGTCTGTGACTAGAAGAGTCAATTCTTCCTGTAAAAAAAAAAGGTTCGTTTTAAAAACCAAAACATACAGAGGCCTGTATGTTGTTTAATGGTGTACAGGTATAATAGAAGCACAAGAAGTATACATGTACAGAAAACCCCGGCTAAACCAATATCGTACAACTCGTCAAATCACTCTGACTAAGGTCCTGATTGTCCGTAATGCTTTTCCATTGGATTATTTATTTCTAATTCAGCTTTTAAAGGTCGCCATTTCGCTCAAGTTGTCGTGTTACTCTCGGTCCCCTTTCCATAAAAAGCATTACAAAATCCGTTGTGTAAGTCGGCATTCAACAAATCACGCATTGGCATCGACTTCCTGTACTGCGGTTGGCAAAGTGTCGAGTGAAAAGTGTTTTCGCATGGCCCGTGATCGCTGCATGCATTGGTGTCGAAAACGGGTGTCCTACTGCATACATCGCATATATGCATCGAGAGCATATCAATACCAGTACCCCCTCTAGGTTGTATGCATGGGCTCTGTCCATTTTGGGGGGTCGTCTTATTGAATGACTACTGCTGCAGTCAATGCGTGCGTGGTACATACCGGACCACACACACATTTAATTTGTTACTGTGCACGTACATACTGTACCGTATGTTTTATAGTGGTCTCGACTATCAATACCAAAAACGTGATGATACAATTCAAGGATTAATTTGCTGGATTCAACTCGAGCATTTAGGACATAGTCCAGGGTATCGAAGCCAATTAGTGCAATGAATCATTCGGCAAAAGACCGTTCCTGTAAGTCGGCAAAATGAGCATATACGTGTACAGTGTACATTGTATCGGCATTCGCGTCAGTCTTCACAAATTCTCGGGTCCCGAGAAAGATGGTTTAGCCGGAGTTTACTGTAGTTTTCAAGCCTACATTTGTGTTGTCCTTCAAGATGGCCCCTAAGCATAAGGTCCATTGAAGTGGTGTCTTAGTTGTACATGTACAATGTATAGCACTGGATAATTCAGTGCTGCAAAACGAGGAATGGGATTTTGGTGAATTCTTGATTAAACTCCTTCACCTTATTAGCAGTTTCAGTACTTTGGCTAGCACCCTATTCAACTGCTCAATTAACAACACTCATCAGGTGCTTGTCAACGTGCCATCCCTGCTACATGTGAGTCTAACAAAATCAGTCAGCCTAAACGGCCTCAGAGTCTGAGCTAGTCTAGGGGCTAGATGTTGTTATAATTTGGATACGCGATAACCCGCCGCAGTGATAACCCGCCACCTCACGAACCTGTCAGGAATGTCTAGGGAAATTTGTATCAGTTGTGTAATGCATGCGCACCTGTTTGGCCTAATATATAGTTCGCGTGGGACTGAAAATGGACCGTAATTGCCTGCAGAAGTAGCGCATGCGCACTAGTTTCCCCCATTTTTCGGTAGGAAATCTTATGAAATTCCCTAGACGTTGTTCCTGACAGGTTCGTGGGTGATATTGGTTGGTTGTGATAACGCACGCTCTTGAGGCAGCGGTTTATCGTGGCGGCTGGTTATCGCGTATCAAACCTTAACAACATCTAGCCCCTAGACTAAGTCTGAGGTCGTTAGCCAACACAGTAGGCCTGTACATGTACATTATTGGATGGGACAAACTCCCGTTGTCTCAGAATTAGTAATTGAATGCTGTTCCTGTTGCACTGCTCAACACAACAAGGTCCCAAAGATTTGTATACCTGTTGCACCTTGCTTTGACAAAAGGTTCATGTATCATTCCAGAGAAGCGAGAAGAGCAGTAAAATATACCTTGGCAATGTCTAGCTGACAGTCTGCGACAGAATGCACATCAGGAAGCATAATCCTGACCATGAGTCTTCGTGGCCTCTTCCCATCTGCCTCTTTTAAGCTGACATCGTACTCGGGGCATTTTAACCTGACATCATTGCTGGAAATCTCCTGGATCAAGGCAGTCTTCAGTTCGCTGGTTTTCCCATTTAACTCCAGAGTTGTATCCGTGCTACTGACTGTGGTCTCTGATTGGTCATCGGACACTCTGAGCTGGCTCAGCAGCGAATCGGGCGTCAGCTTACTCAGGTTCTCTGTGCTCCTGTCTGGTTCCACCTTCTGCTTGGATTTTGCCCGGGAGTTAAAAAAATCCTTTAAATCTTTGGGGTCACCCTTGAATTGGATGTCATGGCAGATGCGGTAATTGGAGGACAGGTGTAATTTCTTCTCATCTTTGAGGTAGTCAATGGCGTTCCCTATAAGCATATCCTGCTCCACAGATCTTTTGGCGCACTCCTCTAAAACGTCTGGATTGAACGCTACACGGATGACCTTGAAATCGCCTGAGAAATGGTTGGTTCCAAAATATATTATCAGATGGATATTATCTAGGGTTGTAGTCAAAACTCAAAAGTAAATCAAACGTCAACCACAATTCATGCAGTCTTAAAAAATGAGTGCCAAGCGATTTATACGGTGAAAATGACATGTAATCGTTGTACATCCCATTACAGTCGACTCTCATTATTAAGAGCACTTTTATAAAGAGGTTTTGCTTATAAAGAGCAAATTCTGAGGTCCCAAATCTCAGGTTCTCTTTGTGTTCCTTTGTTTAGCTGTCCTTTTATAACAACATTCCTGTTATAAAGAGGTAATTTGGCTAGTCCCATAGACCTTGTTATAACGAGAGTCGACTGTACTTCTTGTGACCATATTTGTAACTTGGCGTGTGTTGATTTGTGATTTGAGTGCAGTTGGCATAGGATGGATCTGAGGCCAATTTCAGCACGCTGCTTGTCAGTGGGCAGAAATGTTGTGCCAACTACAGAGTGAGGGGAAAAGTGACCTAATGAGAAAACAAGCTCGAGATGATCTTGGAAGCTATGGGCCAACGCATTTGTGTTCATTTGCATGTGTGACATGATTAATTGTGCCATGTAATTGCTGGAAGGAGTGCAGTACAAATTCACATCAGATTTTTTAACCCTAGCATGCCTAGTGACCCAATTTTCCAGGACTGCATAAATTGGTAGGCCGTCAGTGGAGACCCAGAGGGTTCGGGCCTGAGGGACAAGGTGATTTATAGCCATAAAAGGCATTTGCTGACGTTTGTTACTAACCAACGGAGACACACGATGATTTCTTGACCTGCTTTCCACAGCTACATTTTTTTTTTTTTTTTATGTTGCTCGCTCCATTTAATGAAAATAACATAGGGAATTATTACTGAGTAGTAACTGTGAACATTTCACATAATTTACGTACTACATGAATGTTCGCAAGTTCTGTCAATTTTTAATACAAATGTCACAAAATTCACAATGTCCACCAATGATCATTTACCATTCAAATACAATGAAACAAGGGCATTTTTCTACATTCATGAACAAATCACCATAATTATTTCAGAAAAAAAATCCTCATATTCAGACACAAAATCTGACATTAAAAAATAATGTTTCAGTCATGACAACAATTATAAAAATCTCCTTTTCATCTGAATGCCTGTTTGTAATCTCTGGTTCTCACTCAGCTCAATAGCTTCAAATGGCATTCCATGGACAGCTGTAACGGTGGATTCTTTTAGTAAAATATGAATAATTTATCATAGCATGGATCAACTCCAGTACTTCTTTGTTTTTCAATTGAGTGGAAGAACATGCTGGTTTAATTGTGAGTCAAATTATATTGCTTTTTATAACAATGTTATAAAAATTATTAATCCAGGTCACTTTCTTCTTGACTCACTCTATGGGCTCCGTGCACAAGTACCCCTTCAAGAAAAGGAGAGTTAGGGGAGACCTAGACTGGTTCCCGGACCATCCACTTCGTATGTCGAATGATCCAAAGTTATTGGGGGCAGGGATTTTTTTGGGAGACCAGTTAAATTTGAACATATTTGCGCGCCTGACAATGCCTGACGCTCACGCGCAAAGACACTATACCTTAGCTTTGTGCACGATCAATCGTGCGTACTTCGCACGTGAAACAGTACAGTACACATATGCGGTGTCCTGTCCAAGGAGCTCTAAAAAGTGGTCAAAATGCGCCCTCTTTTGTTCGCGCACGGAGCCCATAGCAGAAAATTGTGTGTGCGTAACCGTGCCTTTACTGTTACTGCTTATGGTCTCCATGAAATGACAGAGGTTCAGTTACCAGAAAATCATCTGTTTAGCAGCGCAATGATCTTGGTCCCTGAATACAACACTGGCATCTATGGATCTTGTTTTGTGTTTCATTCCCCAAAGCAGGGATGTAGTTGAGACTATTACAAGTTCAGTCACAAGTAGATCACAAGTTCAATTACAAATCCAGTCACTAATAACACTGGACAAACAATAACAAAGGAATGCCTTTGTCAAAGCTTTTAATAGCTTGTGATTTGAATTGGACTAAAAGACTTGTGATTGACTTGCAGAAACTTACAGGGACTTGTGAAGGACTGGACTACATGCCTGCCCCAAAGGACTTTAACTATTTTTTTCTTGATTAACCCTAACCCTCCAGGGTATGTTTGCTAGAACCCTGCCAATTGTAGCAACGTGCAACACTTGACTAAGTGACAAGCCTGCCAAATGTAGCAAGATTCATCAGGGGGAAAGCTTAAAGCCACAATGTTTCAAAGTCTGTGGTCACCGCACACAGCAGGATACAACTGTGGCATTGTTCAGTAATTAGCTCTCATTGTTTCAGAGCTGGCCATTAATGCACTGATGTTGGTAGCTGAGTGCATAAAAGTGCACCAGTGTTTTCCCCCTGATGCACTGTGTTGCATCTGGCAGGGTTAGGGTTAACATGTATACTTGCATATGCCTCTCCCTACAACACATTGATTTTCCTTTTTCACCAGAAAACCTACTAAAGTTTATGAGTGGCCATACCTGTTTCGTCATTTCTATCCTCCACTGGTCCAGCCGTGACCTTAATGGGTTCTGTGCTTGTTTTGGGTTTGTCAATACGGGACCAACTACATATGTTGATGTACAAAGTAGACTTGTCAGGTTTCTGAATGAAAAAGAAAAGTTTATGTGTAAGCCATTTGAGAGTAGCCTCAGCCTTTCTCAAACCTTAGCTTCCTCTCCACCCTCAACACTAAGTGAAAAGGCTCCACAACTTTAACTTTCTTGAAATGGATCCACATTTATATTGAGCCCATTGCAAGTCATGAAGCAAGGGAACCTAAAACAAGGAAGACATATTAGATTTTTGCATCAACTAAATTGGTCACTTTTTGAACTAAAATCACTTGCAATTTGGTACATTCATGAAGACATCATTATGTCACACATGCATGTCTATATTAGAGTTGATGTTCATACCAAGTTTAAAGTTCATGCCTAGCTCCGTTTCAAAGAAAAGCTGCATCTATTATTGCCCAGAAAAAAAGAAGAATGGGAATAGACAAAGACTGAGACCTGAAGGTGTGAAATCAAAGGTCTAAAACCGAGACCTGGTAGTCCGAAACCAAGACCAAGCCTGGAAGTCCGACCAAGACCAAGACCAAGACCTATAGACAGGTCAAAGACTGAGACCTGGAGGTTTGATAACGAGACCAAGACCAAGACCTAAAGGTATAAGACTGACCCGAGACCTGGAGGTCTATCTGATGAGACCAAGACCGAGACCTAGAGGTATGAGACGAAGACCGAGACCTAGAGGTCAGAGACCGATCCCAACACCAAGACCTGGAGGTCTGAGACCAAGCCCGAGACCTAGAGGTCTGAGACCAAGACCGAGACCTAGAGGTCTGAGACCAAGACTGAGACCTAGAGGTCTGAGACCAAGACCAAGACCTAGAGGTCAGAGACCGATCCCAACACCAAGACCTGGAGTTCCGAGAACCAAGACTGAGACCTGGAGGTCTGAGACCTTGATGTTGGAGACGAGACCAAGACCTTGAGGTTTGAGACTTCGATCAAGATCATGAGGTCAGAGATTTGGAACAAGACCAAGAACAGGGGTCTGGACCAACACCAAGACCTGGAGGTCTGAGACCAACACAAAGGCTCTAGTTTAGATGGCGAACAACCAACCCTGCCCGTGTGACCCCTGAGAAGGGGTTTTGGTGCAGTATCTATCAAGACAAAAGGCTCGGTGCACGTCGTGTGCTGCATGTCTGGCCGTGCCCGAATTACATGGCTACAATGTCAGCTGGAAATTACACACGTGCCTATTGGCCCAAATTACTTTCCTACAGCTAGAAATAAGTTTTCAGCCATTGTCAAATGGGCGTGGCCCAACATGCAGCACACGACACGCATCAAGCCATTCGAACTGGAGCTGTATTCAAACTATAGAGCCGTTACAGGTTCGGATAGGGATACGATCTGATTCAGGATCGGACAATGCGACATGGGCATAGCAAAATTGCGCGCACGCATAGTATTGCGCGCACGCATAGTGAATCGCGCGAACGCTTCGTTTTCAAGATGGAAAACGTTTTGATTGGAAACTTTTGAAAGATTTTGAATAGTAGCAACTGGCAAGTAGGAATGAAATATTCCATGGCTTGATCTGGTCCGGGTCAGACTGTGTTTTAACCCTAACCCTCCAGGTTATTTTGGCTAGAAACCCTGCCAAACGCAGGAACATGCAACACTTGCCTGCCCAGTGTATCAAGATCCATCAGGTCAAAAGTCTCAAGGCCAAACTGCCTCAGAGTCTGTGGTCACAGAACACAGCAGGATACAACTGTGGCATTGTTCTCAGAATTGGTTGTTAATGCACTTGTGTTGATAGCTGAATGCATCAAAGGGACCAGACTTTTCCACCTGATGCACTGTGTTGCCACTGGCAGGGTTACGGTTAAGGGGCTTGAATGTAAGTTGAGGGGTCGTGGGTCATAGGGGTTCGAGGGTTTTTTTAACAACCCATAATTTTAGGGTGTTTTAGGGTGATATGAACGAACACATATTTTCGTCCTGAACCTACCAAGATTTGTGTCTTGACACACTTCCATGGCTTGGCTGGTGTCAATTCTTGCTGTCCTCTTTGGAGGTTTGTGGCCATGAACTTCTTATATGCATCTTCATCGGTCTCTGCAAGCTCATCCAGCATTGACCAAAAGTGCTGTGCCTGCTTCATCAGGTCATTTTGGACGCCTGTCGCCATAGTGTACTGAAACTGGTGGAACAAGCCAAACAATGAAATTGGTCGTTCAATAACAAATGGCCAAATACATACACCAAGTCGTGCTATAAACACAATCGACATCAACAAATCTTCAAGAAGTACATACATGTAGGGCCGTCTATTTTTTAATAATTTAGCATTCGATTATTCGAAACTGCACTGGACCGAATATTCATATATTCACCGATCAAGTATTACACATGGTAACTTGCAGCTGCCCCCCCCCCCCTTCCCGGTCAAAAGTTGTATACAAAGCAGTTAAAGTTTGCATGCAGCGATGAATATTACGGGCCTAGCTGGACTATTTGGACCCACATGCAGAGTACTTCTAGAATTATAAGGCGGGGGTTGCGTTCTAATGCTATGGCCAGACTATACCGTACGTTTACCAACAAAAAAGCATGGTATCATCTTAAAGCAGATGCTATGTGCTTTTCAATGATACCTTGGTTGACCTTCCAGGGTCACGCATCATGGAGCACGCAAAATTGGGGTTGGTTCACTTTCATGCCATGGCGGCAGCGTGCTAGGTGTGCCTGCACGCGCGCACGTAAATCTTCATACGGGGAGTTCGTACTGAAAATGTTTTCAACGAAGGCGTGGAATTGCGGTTTATTTTCGGTAAACATGCCGCCCGCGGACATATATGCCTTTTCTAAACCCAACACAGGTACAATTCTGGACACAATATGTAAGCAAAATTTCAGCTTCCTCCGTCTGGTAAAAATATGAAAAAAATTACACCCATGAACACAGCGTTGTATACAACGCTACGTTGACAGGTCTAACTCATTAACTGTAGTGTAGCTTGAAGGGTGTCGGACGCTTCGCCCCATTTCCACTTCGCCCCAAGCCACTTCGCCCCAAGCCACTTCGCCCCATCCCCACCTCGCCCCATCCCCCCTTCGCTACATCCCCCCTTCGCCCTGGTGCCCGCTTCGCCACCATCTGACATTCAGCTTGAACATGTTGAATTTACAGTGACTACACCAAAAAAAAATCAAATAAAAGCATGGAAAGAGGTGTTCTAAACTACAAGATGTGGTGTGAATATTCGACTCGGTGGACTCATTGGTAGTATTTCGCACGCGTAAAAGCCGTAAGTATAATTGCTATTTTTTCGGATCATTTCGGCAGAGTGACCTGTCACGTGCGAGGAGAAAGGAAAGGGGTCCGATTTTCATAGCAGTCGGATTTTTATGTGACACCGGCAAGGAAGTCATCCACAAGTATGCATAAAAACGATCAATGACCATGACGTAAATGGATACTTATTACACAAATATTAGACTTACATTTACAATAATTTTTAGGGTTTTGTCAACGAGGAAGTCACATGGAAGTGGTTGTCATAGTTTTAGTACACAGCACGCCGTGCCAAGTGTGACCGCGCATGGCGTTTTGCAGTAAAATATATTTGGGCAGTACCACTATGACAATAGGGATAGATCTATCTGATCAGCAATAACTTGTTGAAATAATCAAAAATGGTCCCCTAATCTTTTTCTTTTCTAAATGTTTCACATCAGTCTTCTTTATTTTGCTAATTTTAAAAGTTCTAATGTATAGTTTATGTGTTTAATGTGTTGAAAAAAGATTATTCATATTTAGTCGACAAGATTATAGATCCTCCCAATAAAAATTGACGAAACTATTACAACCTCGTTCTCAGGATATCGAGCAGTACGCTCCTACCACTACCTGCTTTCTGCTCACTATTTGAACGAGGTTGGAGAAGGATGTACCCTGGGGACGAGGTTGAGTTGAGCGTCCAGCCTGTAGACTCTATTATTATGTGTGCATGTGGTAACTGCAACGAGTGCAGTTAGATTCCACAGTGATTCCGGTCAAATGTAAGTCAAGAATTAAGCTCTACGCACGTAATTTCAGTTAAATTAAGGTACATCTTTTTTTAATACGATATACAGCACTGCAGTTAGGCCTATTTCGGTAAATCGAACGAATGAAATAGCCTTTATCACGCAGTGGCTATTGTTACGGCAGCCGTAACGCATTTCCCATTTTCTATCGTTACGGTAGACTGCAACCTGGCAACTTTTATAAAAAAACATGACAAGAAAATATAAAATTAGAAGGAAAAAAGTGAATTTGAACTTTATGAAATTCGGACTTTATTTCCCTTTTAAAAAAAATCCTCCAAAGCCTCAGGTTAGAAAAGGAAAAAAATTCGAGTGCAAAACTGAGATTCGAACCCGCAACCTCGCGGTGCAAAATTCTACCCTCTATCGGCTGAGCTGGCGCACTGCTCGATAAATCGTGGAGAAACAAATAATTATATACCCGCGTGCGTATCAAAAAAATATCGTAGAGGGCGCTAAACAACGAGTGCCGTAACGATAGCCACTTCGTTCTCAGTTTTCTGTTGCCTATGCTTTCCCGCACCTGTCCTTTTTTTTTTAAATTGGGCGAATGAGGGCGCTATAACTACAAAAAGCCACTGAAATGTTTTAGCAAATTACAACCAAATCTGAGTAAATTGAAGAAAGATTGTACATACATGTACAAATAGCATTTGTCAAGTTTGCTATCCTATGGCATGCTCTCATTCTACATGTTCTAGGGCCTACGTAGTCCGAGTAACTTGGATCCAACTTATCGCCTTTTTTAACATTTGGACATGGTCTGCCAGACCATGTCCAAATGTAGTCCGAGTAACTTGGACCCAACTTATCGCCTTTTTTAACATTTGGACATGGTCTGGCGAAGGCGATAAGTTGGGTCCAAGTTACTCGGACTAGTCCAAATGTTAAAAAAGGCGATAAGTTGGGTCCAAGTTTATCGCCTTTTTTAACATTTGGACATGGTCTGCCAGACCATGTCCAAATGTTAAAAAAGGCGATAAGTTGGGTCCAAGTTACTCGGACTAGGGCCTACAGTAATTTGTTGAATTAAAAAAAAAAAAATTGGGGGGGGGGGGTGGCGGAAGTGTAAAAAACTGGGAAAAAATGTTGCAACCTGACACCACTTTTTTCTTCATATCATCTCAATGTCAATGAAGGTCAGTTATTGAAAAAATGATGATAAGATATGAATCTGGGACTGAGATTTAGTGAGAAACATTTCTAATTTGGAAAGATTCCCATATCTCATGTATCTGGCCATAATTTTTCCCTTAAATGACCTAGTAGCCATCAGAAAGTGATAATACGTCCTAAAAAAGTCAAAATTAAGAGGGACAAATTTTCAATTTTTACTAAGAAAACACTTAGAAATGTTCAGACCAGTTCTCGGAGGTCGACTGCGGCTCCAAGGCTCCACGCAGCCATACGGAGGCGCGGACAAAGATTGTGGTGGCCCTGTATTCTATAGTTACATTGTATTTTTTTACCGTAAACTGTTCAACTGGTCCAACATTCTTTCGTTCTTGAGCCGGCACTATCCTCTGCGCATGTGCACTTCAAAAGCATTGACAAGTACATGTCGGCAGTGGCGTAGCCAGGAATTTTTCAGTTGGGGGGGGGGGGGGGGGCGCTGGGGGGCTGGAACATTTCATGGGGGGGCGTCATGTAGATCAATGATAATTCTTTTAGAAACTCAAAATCTCAGTGGGGGGGGGGGGGGGGGGGGGGGCTACGCCACTGCAAGTAGGGCCTACATAAATCTATTACATCATACATCATGTACGTACATGTACATGTACCATCCCAACTCGGCGAACGTGTGGTTCGACTTGACCAAGGCTAATTGTGATCAGATTTGTCAATATTTCATTAAAGGTAGGGTAGATCATTATCAATGTCATTTGTACATTTTTTTATTCGTTTGAAGCAACAAAAGTGCTCAAATCTAAAGACGGGTGCATTAACAACTAACTTGCTGAAGTTTTGGCTCTGTGAATGTTGTATATTCTGGAAAAAAAACCCCAATATTCTTGGATCTTGTTTTCAATTCAAAAGTTGCTGAGTCATGTTTTTGAATAACACATCTGAAATCAGCATCCGGGAAACATTCTCATTCAGCCGATTGCAGCTACGTGATGTCACGCACTGAACCGACAAAAATTAGGAACCATGCGTGCGTGTGCATCGTGTCAACGCTTGCACGCACCCAATTTACGGACTTGCCAAATTACAAAACAACTACTAGCGAAAATACCACGTGACACATCATTTTTTATTGTTTTCTTCAAGATGACAGCATACCAGAAGATTTATTTCTCTGGGAATTTAGTGCAATAACTATCTTTAAAGTTTAAACCGAGTAAGCTTTTCAACAGTAATTTTGTCAGTTGCTTTTTGGATAGCTGCAAATGATCAACTCTACTTTTAAAGCTACAGTCCATCATTTTCAGCTATCTGAAAAGTAACTGGCGTAATTATTGTTGAAAAACATTCTTGGTTGAAAGATAGTAAGGGGTCTAAACTCCCTGTGAAATTATTCCTTCTGGCAAGCTGTCATTTTGAAGAAGTCAACAAAGGAAGGCCTTTCCAATGGTGCTTCTTAAGACGCACCGTAAGAAATTTGAATCAGTAGTTCGTTTTGTTATTCGGTGAAGTGCACGCAAGCATTGGCACAACGCACATGCGCGCGCAGTTGCTATAATTCGTCGGATCAGTGCGCATCATTGCGTAGCTGCAATTGGCTCAGTGAGAACGTGTCTCAGACGCTGAATTCAGGCCCAATTCAAAACATGATTCAGCAACTTTTGAATTGAAATCAAGATCCCAGAATGCTGTTTTTCTCGGAATATACAGCTGAAGCTGAGCTGAAACTTCATCAGGTTAGTTGTTCAGCACACTTCTTCAGATTGTGAGCAATTTTGTTGCTTCAAAAGAACAAAATGCACAAAGTACAAATGATGGACTATACCTTTAAATTGATGGGTAAAATACATGCGTATCTAATTGCTGGATTTACATTTTTGATGTTATCTTTTATCCAAAAATGGTGACCTCTGTGTGTAGTCTATGTATGCTGATCACTTGATAGAAGTTGATGGCGACTGTACGTTACTTGGACCGGAAATTGCTCCGGAACATCATTCGTCACACGGAGACGCACAATCGGCTGCAGGAGGAAGACGAGATGTGGCGTGGTAAAGCTCAGGAGGCATTCGGCTGGAGGGACCGTCCTTTCTCTTCACGACGTAGGAGAGGGCGCAAGCTCAATCGCGAAAGGTACTTAAGTTGCATTCATTCGTATCTGACACCCAATGCATTTGGCACTATGATCTAGCTAATCTCCGTGCTTTCATCAAAGACCTAACTGAGTGACGGTCTGACACTTTCACATTTGGGCAATGCCACCGTCACTCACGTTACATTTATATGCCATGAGGCTACTTTGACCTCTCACTGCTTCAAAAGTATTTGATGAAGCTGAATCAAACCAGCCATGCAACAACCTTGGGGTAAGGGGTACTCAAAAAATGGAAAGAAAAATTCAATCCTTTCATTTTAGTTTTTGAGAACATGTGTTTTTCAAATTAGGTTTTGCCCTTCACCGACGTATAAACACTGTACATGTATACTCAGTGTGTTAATGTACCTCCTGACATGCCTGAGTGAAAGTTGGAAAAAAATCACTTGGGTGGGACTCGAACCCATGACCTCCTGCTTTCTAGTGCAGATGTCTTACCACTCGACCACCGAGCTAACAGGAAATTCCATCTTATGAACATGTGTTTTGTTGGTCGTCACTCAGGTTACAAAAACAGGACATGGAAAATTGTCCTGTAATTTTGTTGTTAAAGTCTCCTCAAACTGTAGTCTGCAACACAGAAGTAACATTATTTTACCTTTCATTCAACTCATACATGTAGCTGTATATAAAAACCGATTTTGAATCAAATAAGTGTGTATTTCAGATGCAAGGGACATTAGATTGCAGGGAGGTACCGTCACTCACGTTACGTCACTCACATTGCTTCCGCTTCATGGTTTCTAACACGGCATAAAATCTGAGTTTGATGAACTGCAACATAATGAAACTCTGTTCTAATAATATTTGAAACTTTCTCTCTACCTTAAGCACAAAAACTCTCAATAACAGTCACATTTTGCATGTTAAAACGAGGTGCCAAATGATTACCAAAATAAATCCATGATTTTAGCCCAAAAAAAACCCCACACATTCCATCCCATTGGCACAGCACTCAAATGAAAGATCTTGTTGTCCCTCTTAATTTGACACCACATTTGATGTTGTGATGCTTGTAGTTTGGAAATTTTGTACATTTTCCACTTTCCAGCCATGTCCACTTTTGTGTGGAATTGCCCATTTGCACCACAAATGAGCGCATTTGCATTGATAGTGGTGTCAGGTTTTGAATACCCTGTTTCCACAATCAAAACCGAATAGTCGCATTCAAACCAAATTTTAACAAACTCTGAATTGAAGTCCCACCACCAGCCCAGTAGAATCACTGATAAGAGGCCTTTGTTTTGTCCAAACAATTCAGGTTTGATGGACAGATGGATCGACTCCAGCGAATGAACCCAGATACAAGAAGCCCTCAAGATCGCTGGAACTGGAACGGTGAGCGCAACAGGGACATCTACCGGACGGAGCTCGGAAACCATGAAAGGCAAGATTTTCTGTGGTTTTTTAATTTCGTTCTTTCAATTTCGTTCTTTCATTACATAACATGTTCTCCAATTGTACCTGGGCCCGTCTCAATTCATATCCGAGATGAGTAAGTTGAGGGTAGAATCATTCTCGTTGTCCCTAAGAAGCTCTGCATTTGTCTTGGACATGTTCTGGGAAAATTTTCATTAGCAACTGCTTGACTGGCCAATACTGATAACTTCATTGCAGGAAGATTGCGGTACGATTGTAGGGAAGTTGTTCAGAATCCTGCAACTTACACCTGATGCAATGTCCGCAACTTGTCCGCAAGTCCAACCTGGGGTTATGGTGCGTGTGCCCTTGGGCAAGGCACTTTGTCACTCATTGCTTCTCCCCACCCAGGAGTAAAATGGGTTCCTGAGAAGGCAGAGATGGTTATTGTGATTGTATAGTTGCTTTGTGCTGAAATTGGCATCATAGACCTGTATCCGCTTTGTCACAAGTACCCCCTCACCGGCAAAGAAAGTGCAGTTGGGGGTGACCGACCGACGCCATCTTGCCTGACTGCAACTTTGCCACGATGCGCGGCCGTACCGTGCCACTGCACGTACATAGTACAAATCCCCTGGTGTACGTGCGTCACACACAAGGAATGGTACGCATCCACCAACTAATATGGGACATCGTTGCTAGGTAAAAGGGCGCCCTCTTTCGTTGGCGCACGGAGCCCATACTCCCAGGGAGCTGATATTGTCTTTGGAATGTTTCATTGGCCCAATGAGCAGGGTAATAATGATGTAGCATCTTGAGCACTGATACTGGTGGATACATGCACTTTATTATCATTGAATGGTTCTCAACCTTTGAGATTTCACAATCGTATACCATATGAACATCTGATCCCTTAAATTTTCATTAAAAGTCCACTTCTCCGTGAAAAGATCTTTAAGAGATGTTTCACGGACATTTACATGGGGCTTATATAGGACTAATCCTGTAAGGGTATTTTCACGGTTTTTTAATGACCCTGGCCACTGAGGATTATCATTGGTTATGCATAACGGAACACTGGGTCTATCTCCAAGGGTAAACAAAGGACTTTCTTAAGGGTGTTTTCACGGACTCCTAATCTGGCTGAATATTTTGAAAAATCTGTGAAAATTTAGTTAACTGTAATTTCAAGGGAAAATGGCTCTTTAACGAATTTTTAAGGGATGGAGATGTTCATGGTGATAACAATACAATCTGATTTTCTCGCCTAGGTGGGGTCACACTGGTTTTATGGAGCTGTATCCAGAGGAGTTCATCAATAAAGACTCCATGGATGAAATGAGCAACGAAGATGATAAAGAGGACAAAAGGAAGAAGATGAAAAGGAAACACAAGAGGTACATGGGTGATCAGCTTTGAGTGCATGTGACGGTTAACCGAAGTGCCACTAATTTCACTTAGGTTAAAGGTAGAGTAGATCATTTGCAGCTATCCAAAAAGAAACTGACAAAATTATTGTTGAGAAACTAACTTGGTTTAAAGATAGTAATGGCACTAAACTCAATGTGAAATTATTCTTTCTGGCATGCTGTCTATTGAAAAAAAAACAATGAAAGAAGGCCATTTCCAAAGATGCGTCAAGTGACACATTTTGGGAAATTCCCTTTAGTAGTTGATTTGTAACTCGGCAAATCGGTGAATGGTTGCGTGCAAGCGTTGACAAGACGCACACGTGCGCGCGGTTGCTATTATTCGTCAGTTCACTGTGTGACACCGCGTAGCTGTAATCGGCTGGATGAGAACGTGCCCCAGACCCTGAATTCAGGCGCAATTCAAAACATGACACTGCAACTTTTGAATGGAAACCGAGATCCTAGAATATTGTTTTCTCGGAATATACAGCATTCACAGAGCTAAAACTTCCTCAGGTTGTTAAGCACCTGTCTTTAGATTTGGAGCACTTTTGTTGCTTAATTAAAAAAAAAAAAAAAAAAAAAAAACCCACAAATGACAAATGATCTACCCTACCTCATTTTTGAACATGTTGAATAGAGAGTTCACTATCATTATCAACAAGATAAATCTAACTTTTGGCCAGCTACCAAGGAAATTCCAAGCATACCTTTACATGCCTCGCATTCAAGCGAAATGCGTAGGGTACATGTTTGCTTGGATTATCTTGGGTAGCACTGCCAAAGTTCCCAATAGTAATTTGAATTCATCTTTTACTCATTGCATCATTTTTGACAATTTTGCAGGAAACGTGAATCCCAGCAGGACTTGTCTTCCAACAAGCGGCGCAAAGACACAGAAAGCTGGAGCTCGTCTTCCGAGTCAGATATTTCCTCCGCATCATCCGACGAGCAACAAGTAAAAACCTCCGCAGCCGTAAAAAGGACTCACCGCTCCCAACACAGAGAACAGTCTGAGCACCGCCGTAAACACAGAAGGGCGTCCTCTATTGACGGGTCTGCCAGCAGGAACCACCAGCATGCCAAAGGGAAAGATGACACAAGTTACCACAAGAGGGCAACCTTCAGAAGCTCTGAAAAGTCTAACCAACGGTTGAGGCATAGCGACAAGATGGAAGGGGGTAAAAAAAGAGCCAGCGTGGACAGGAAAAGAGAAAGGCGACACAAGGACGAGAAGGTGAATGGCCACAGAAGCAAAGACAGAATACATACAAGTCCAGATTCTCAAAAGACACGTGGTGCCGACAACGGGCAGCACCGGAAGAGAACAGTTGATTGCGAGATGGAGCATAAAGAGGACCGAGATGAAACAAGAGAAAAAAGGCGTCGCAAGGAACTCACGAAGGCTTCAAGCAGCAGTCGGGCCGAGAGAAGAGATAGGTCAGAGGAGCAAGATCATAGTAACAGTCACCGTCACAAGTCTTCTAGAAAAGCCAAGAAGCGACATCAAGGGAAAAAAGACACCAAACACGGCAGACGAAAATGATTGCTCTTAGAGTAACTGATAGTTATTGGGTGGACTTTCCCTCAAAGACTCTTTTTTTTGGAAGCTGAAGCGTGCAGTAAGCATCTTCCTTCCTGACATGCCTGAGAACATTTGTGTGAGCCTCCAAAAGAGTATTGCAACTTCATGTTTGACTGTGTAGTAGAACCAGAGTTGCTGTACCAGGACATATCGTCACTTTTTCATTGAGGGATGGACATGTCCAATGAGTGAAATTATTTCGGTTTCGAGATTTTTGCTTTTTTTTGCTTTAAAAACATCGCTCTCAACCATTTTGACTTGCTTCTTCATGCAAAACCTGAGTAACGTCTTAATAACATTAATGTTGTATGGTGGCAGACATCTGACATCTCCATAATTGCATTTTGTGCTCACGAAGAGATGCCAACATGTTGATATCACCAACAAAAACCTATTGATCAAAAGTGCGAAAACGTATTGATGGAAAGGGCGTAAAAGTAGAGTGACCTTTCCGTTTTCAGGAATATCTCTGATACATTTCAGACGCGACCGTGCAAACATGCATGCCTCATCCTATGGCAAAATACACTGCGCAGTAGATTGTAAAAGTAGAGCTCAAATGGAATTTTTGTTTCACGAAGAGATGGGCATCTTTTGAAACTGTTTAAATATATTCCTAAACTACAAGATCTTGATGGTATATAGTGAAAACAGCGTTGAAAATAAAGCTCAAGTTAAGAAATAGCCGCCATTTACAGAAAAGGTTTAAAACTAGTTTGTCCAAGTGTATGGCAGTTATGTAATATAATGTAGATTGAATTTACATTATTGCAGTTCTTTGTGCGTCGACCATATCTCATAGACTTGTGTGTGTTCAAACTGATTTTGACCATCTTTCTTTAAACCATCGCCATTTCTTTATCAAGGCTTTATTTTCAGTGTCATTTTCACCATATACCACGAAGATGCCGTATTTTAGGAATATCTTAAATCAATTTTAACATGTTTCCCCAATTCCGAGAAATCTGCCCCTGAAAAATGTAAAAATGTTTTTTTTGTACCGCCCTGAAGTTTCTGGTATTGGGTCTCAACGTGTGACCTCTTAGTCTTTTGCTCACTTGAGTTAACACTGTAGGCCATCAGCCTGGGGGTTTGGTCGGTATTAAATGAGGGGAATAATGCTCATTGTGATTTTTGGCAATGCACCCCTGTAGTTGGAAAATATGTGATAGCGGTGGCAGCTTTTTGGGTGTTATCACTCTTAAAAAAAAATGGCGGCCACGAAATGCTTGTTACCACATGTAATTCATCTGGTAACAAGCATATTGGCGGCCATTTTGAAAAAAAAAACAAATTATAAGTGACAACACCCAAAAAACTGCCACCGCTCTCACAGCAAATTAAAGCTTGCACACATTTTCCAACTATAGATGTGCATATTAAAGGGAATATACATCATTTGCTTTTACTGTAATTTTCAGAAATGGATGGAATTGGGGGGTTGGAAATATATAGCAAAATATAATTACACTGACTTTTTTGACGTTTTGGGTTCGAAAATGCTATAAAAACCAAGAAAAACAATCATTTTCCTGTAGTCTGGTTCCCTGACTCCATATAAGAAGAAACAGAGCAGTTTACATACATTGGGGAATTGTAAGGTCAGGGAACCAGTCTAGCTGGCTCGTACCCGTTCATAGGTTTGTAATCGATTGCAAACAAGTGCGATGGTCAATTGGGGCCAGTATTTGAAGAAAAAAAAACAGTTTTTTTCCAACGCTGATCGGCCGATCAGCGTTGGAAATTGATACAAAAATACCACTTTTCTTGAAAATGACAGTATTCCAGGTGCCATGATTTTACAGGATGCTTTACACTGTCATTCACTAACAGTCCAGCAAGGTATTTCAAAATGATTTGGTAGTTTTATTTTTTGATGTTTGCAAATGTTGTATTTTCCCTTTAACTTGCCAAAAGTTGTTATAAGCATTGCTCCTTTCGAAAATTTGATACCTGTGGCCGAATTTGTGGACCGAAGTTGATAGCCTAGTGGGACAATATTTGTTTAATTCCAAAACGAAACACTTTTCTTTTCCAGATGCCAAACAGGAACAAAGTTATTAGAAATGCAACGCAAAGGCATGCAATTTTCTTTAAAGGGAATATACATCATTTGCTTTTGCTGTAATTTTCAGAAATGGATGGAATTGGGGGGTTGGAAATATAAAGCAAATATAGTTACACTGACTTTTTGGAGATTTTGGGTTCGAAAATGCTATAAAAACCAAGAAAACGATCATTTTCCTGTAGTCTGGTTCCCTGACTCCATATAAGAAGAAACAGAGCAGTTTACATACATTGGGGAATTGTAAGGTCAGGGAACCAGTCTAGCTGGCTCGTACCCGTTCATAGGTTTGTAATCGATTGCAAACAAGTGCAATGGTCAATTGGGGCCAGTATTTGAAAAAAAGCCAGTTGTTTCCAACGCTGATCGGCCGAAATTGATACAAAAATACCACTTTTCTTGAAAATGACAGTATACCAGGTGCCATAATTTTACAGGATGCTTTAGACTGTCATTTACCAACATCCTGTTAAGGTATTTCGCAAAAACTTGGTAGTTTTATTTTTCGATGTTTGCAAATGTTGTATATTCCCTTTAAGCACATTCTTTTCACAAATTCTATACAGTACCATTTGTGTTGTGATTACTGCACTTCCATCTGTAAATAAAATCATCATCATGGACTAAAATCTTTAGCCTGCTCTCTCTCTCTCTCTATTGGAAACGAGGTTGAATATAGTAAGTAAGCCCCCGGGACAAGGTTGGGTTCAGGAATTTATTAATGGAGCAGAGAAATGGACACGTTTCAAGTCTGACCCCAGGTTACATTTGAGCAAATTCGCTGATTAATTATGCCAGACAACCGCATCTTGACCTGTAGATTTTGACCACTCGTAGCGGGCCGGTCTCGGTCTCGAGACCGGTCTCGGTCTCGAGACCGGTCTCGGTCTCGAGACCGGTCTCGGTCTCGAGACCGGTCTCGGTCTCGAGACCGGTCTCGGTCTCGAGACCGGTCTCGGTCTCGAGACCGGTCTCGGTCTCGAGACCGGTCTCGGTCTCGAGACCGGTCTCGGTCTCGAGACCGGTCTCGGTCTCGAGACCGGTCTCGGTCTCGAGACCGGTCTCGGTCTCGAGACCGGTCTCGGTCTCGAGACCACTTTTTGCTGGTCTCGGTCTCGGGAGCTGTGGTCTCGGTTTTGGTCTCGGTCTCGCGAGGGGGGGGGGGGGGGGCGGATTTCGCCCGGGCCCCAGTTTAGGATTAACTAGGGAATCAGTTGAGGGCAAATGTGACTGCAGTGTAATGCTGATAGACATGTCTCTCTTCACTTTCTAGTGAGTGAGGCATAGTCCAACAACCATTGCTCCTTTTCTTGTTTCTTGTTTTTATTGTGGGATGGTTTGTTGAAACAAGCACTTTATAGCCATCCTCATTGATTCCAAATACAACTGAGATTAAAATCTAATGAATCAAGATTGAAGCATTATTTTTACCGTCAAATTTTTTGTTTTGAATATGGGAAACAATTCAACTCTTTTTTTCCCCAGAAATATTGGTGATTTTTTTTCTATTTTCCTTTTCAATACTTTATTCTTGGAGGCGGGGAAACGTTTTTTTTTTCATTATATTTATTAATGGATATTCATCAATTCGTAGACCGTTAAATTGCTACTAGTGGTGGACAGCTGAATTTTGTGATCTCTTTATTAAAATAGGCACAACTTGGGAATAGAGAATGCAAATTTTCAGAGTTACTACTCAATAACATGTTCTTTATCCCAATTATATATATTTTTTTACAAATATGGAGGGTGCCATTTCTTTTCTTTTTATCATACTGTCACTTTATTTTTGACTTGCCATGTATTCATCTTTTCATCTGTGATAAACAAAAATTGAGCTACTGCCATAGTCACACAAAATAGAGTCTAATTGCCTGCCTCGTCTCCTTTCTAAATGTCAGTTGCGTTTGCATGAGTCGAGAAGACTTTTGTTCCATTAATCGCTAAATGCTGTTTACGGCCATCACAATAACCAAGAGTGAAATATTGGCAATATGTTGTACTTGTAAATTACTAAAATATTCAAGTATTATCGCCCAGCATAGTAGCCGATGCGGGTGATAATCTGGTACAAAACACAAATAAGCGTGCGCACGCAGCCATGAATCCTAAAAGTACATCTCGCCCACCACATTCAGTTTGTGACAGCGCCCTTCTATTGTGTCGGCCTCATTCTCAAATAGGCTAATGGCGATGATGACGGCGGGCAGATTAACAGAAGATAGATCAGGCAAATATGGTTCATCGATCTTCTATAGTGTATGTAATGGTATTGACATTATACACAAATAAAGTGGCATTACATTTCAGCCTTAAGCCAGGCCTCTCTGGCGACCACCTCTCAATTTTTGGGTCTACATGTACAAGTCTATATTCTATGACTGAAATTTAAAAAAAATAAATCAATATTTTCTTGCTCCTTTTTTGGGGGAATCAGCTTTACAAGGAGGTCCAATGTATAATTAAAGCTGCTTTTAAATATCTGTTAGTAGTCATTGCTGAAACCAAGGGGTGGTTGTGGAGTTTAATGTCCTGTAACACTTAAGTTTAGTTCCTATAACAGATGAAACATCCACCTTTACCTTTTTACTTTTGTCAAGTTTCAACATCGCAAAAAACTAGTACAAATTGCCGAACTCCTAAGTTAGAGTTTCTTCATCAGATTGACACTTTATAGTAGTTAAACAATATTATATTTAAAAAAATATGCTTTTAAAAGAGTGGCAACAGTATATGGAGTTCATCAAATTAGGTTTTCCCCTTCTTTAAATTAGGTTGTTTCCCTTTTTTTAATTGATTGTGACAATAACAAATTCTGTTGCCATGTTGTAATTTATGGTATGAAGCAAACATCGCATGACACAATTAAGCAGGTACAAGTGATTCCTAGCTTTCAATCACTTCCTTCACATCCCCATCAACATCATCATCTCAAGGACAGACTGTTCAGCTGTAATTAGTGACTTGTTTTTTTTATTTCGATTATTGTTATGTATTATCCGCGGTCTCGGTCTCGGACCATTTCGGTCTCGGTCCGCCTTGAAGGGGCTGGTCTTGGTCTCGGTCTCGGTCTCGCAACTTCAGGTCTCGGTCTTGGTCTCGGTCTCGGACTATCTGGTCTCGACTACAACACTGCTTTCTCTATCAGGTCTTCAACAATGTGCGTCATAGACAATGGATAAAAGCAAACTGTGTCACGCGCTCTGTATCATGTTACGCGATATGCGCCCGGCTGTTGTATTACAAAACACTCCATTCGAATTGGCCAATCAAACCATTTAGTCCTGATTTGGGAATGAAACGACGTCACAATTTAGTAAAGTCGACTCTGATTGGCTAGCGTGCAGCTTGCATATCTGCATGTCTAGACAAATCAGACATTATACAGGACTTGGCTTGTGGATGCAGGGTGATGTTCAGACTCAACCTCGTCCCCAGGGTGTCGAGCAGTACGCGCCCACCACTACCTGCTCTCTCACCCTGGTATTGGATCATTTGCATGTGCAAGATTTTTGAACACGTATGCAAATGAGGAACAGTCTGGTGCCTGGATATGCGTTACACATTAGCGTTTGTTTTTGTATGCGGTGTCTGGGGTAAAAACAGAGTCAATTCATAGCAGCGCGAGCACGGCGTGAGTTACGAAAACATGATTTTTGAAATCAAACTGTTACGATCTTATCGAAACAACATGCAGTATCATATTTCATATTAATATGAGCAAATTGGAAAGGAAATTAGTATTTTCGAGAAGGCGTGGACGAATGATTGCGAAAACACGCACTGCACGTTGTGAATAATAGCACCAAGTACACGATAAGAATCCATTACTAGCCAACTGCGGTATCCAATCAGGATACAGGAAGAAAGTTTCCTATCCAGGGTTTACTATTGGAAACGCAGTTGGAAATAAAGTAAGCACTGGGGACGAGGTTGGCTCAGACTATGCTGACCCTTGATCATACCTAAACTGGAGGACGTGACCTTTCTGAAAACTTGAAGTCTTATTGGCTGCAATGCACATTGACAAAGTCAAATATTTTATTACAGGAAAAGTCAAACACATCTTTGCAAAATGCACGACATGTATTTGCACATGTACATGTACTTTGGTTTTTAAGGGTATTTCTGGGAATTTTCAGTGTTTTCGCTATTATGCAAATTTTCATTTTAAAAGCAAAACTCTGGCACACGATGCATATACATTGTATTTGCCACCTATTCTATGAGCGAGGCAGGATTATGGTTTCGACGAAATTCAATACAAAACAAAAATTTATCATTTTCAGAGTCTGGCTTTATTTCTTGATTACAAAATTCAAATCTTTTGTAGGTTTTATAATAATTTTTTATATTAATAGATATTTTTTTCAGTATGGTAAATTTGCAAGTGCAAATTTTATAACAAAAGAAAATAAAATACATTATAACACCTCACCCGTAGATTCATCTGGATTGGCAGAGAGCAAGTCACATGGTATTCGCTATTTGACCTTCTTCTTGGTAAAAAGTGCTACATTGTATACACTGTAGCAGAGAAACCGGTAAGATTACCATATCTGGCCATCACTTGTCACCCTGTGCACAAACCGCACGAGACTGGTCTGTGAAAATTTATAAATGTTTTCTCAGTAAATACTTCAATATGTTCCCTGCTAAATTTGACTTTTTTAGGACATACATGTATCACTTTCTGATGGCTAAGAGGTCACTGAAGGGAACTTAGTGATGGCCAGATATGGGAATCTTTCCTAGAAACCATGCAGCTCTGGCTGTGTGCACCCATACTTGTTTCACATGACTAGTGTGGACTTTCCATTGCTTTCGTGTAGTTAAGAAAAACCAGTGAAAAAACTCATTTTTCTCAAACTGTGAAAACTCTTTCAACCCAATTTTTTTTCTATGATTCCCTTTAGTGTTTCTCTTCATTCTGCTACAGATAAACCTAACCCAAAAATGCCTCTAAACCTGTTTTCCAGAAATGGGGAAACACTGTGTGGACGTGGGGTAAGTCCACACAACGTCGGTGCTACCTACATTATGTGGACGTCTTTTGTTCGGAAGTCCACACTGCGTATGTAAGACAAACTCACATGCATACACGTGTGCATGTTTCAAGCACACAGAGTTGGGTTCAAACATTTCATGAAGGGGTAGTTCGGAAAAGTGTGAGTAACTTTTCAACTACATGTAATTCCATATTGAAACAAAAGTACATTTTAATTGGATGTTGGTTACATTAATCAGTTATCTTAAAATCAAGCAGAATCTGTGGGAGAGGTGTTATAAAACAAATACTGACTGCTTTTTTATAATACATGTATCTCAAGGTGTAGTAAAACTAGCCTCCCTCGGTGATCCATGGAACATTCCATTTCCCTTGGTTACGGCTCAGGAAAAGAGAATGCTTCATGAATCACCTCAGGAGGCTAGTTTTACCACACCGCTCATAGCAGTCAATATTTGTATACTAGTAACCAGAAAAGTCTTGAGTTTATGGTTGAGACCCAAGCTACAACCTATATTTATTTAGTGTCTTAAAAATATATACTTAACTGAAAACGTTTCAGACTTGTCAAGAATGAAAGCGTTTCAGACATTTTTGGTTATCACTGATAAAATTACACGCTTTTGAATGTGTAAAAGAACAAAATGGTAAAAGAAGAAAAAGTAAATTAAAACAAGAAAAAAAAACAATGAAAGATGAAACAACAAAAAATGACAAAATAATATAGGATTCAAATCTCACAGAACAGTGGCCCATTATTGCTCATAATCCAAATTTAATATAAATTTATATAAAATTTGACCAAGTTTACAAAAAAAAAAATAATCTTATTCCACCCAAAAACTGTCTTCTGCTCAATCCTTCATCGGATTACTGAGGTCAAAAGTCATATAGGGGTCATTGTTCAAATACTTCAAATGTTTCTTCGTCTGCAAAATTTCATGAATTTTCATGTAACTTAATCCTGCAAACTATACCCATTCATTGTGGGGAGCATTGCATGCAGCACCCCACTCGTCATTTTTTGTTGGCATGACTGTGAGCTGAATGGGAACTTCCCATCAAATCGGATAACCGTTATTCGGTTTGACAAAAATAAGGATAACCAGATTTTGAAATCTCTGATTTCTCCCACCACTAGTACGTACCCTGCCTACAGCACCTTTGACCATGAAAGCACATGATTATTAGATACAAAACACACACATGCACACAAGCCACTACATATGTGTATGCCTTGCTAAACCTGTGAAACACGCAAAGGCCAAGACAAAAATACCTGTACTTCCGGTTATGACCCAACCAAGTAAATTACAAAATACTTAATAGTTTGATTTGAAAAACTGTTTTAAAATGGTGGTGCCGTCATACGTTACTTTTTTGCGGATATCATCCTGAATTTTAAAAACTTTTATTTCATTTTTGTTGTTACTTAGTTGGTTGGCAGTGCAAGCAGTCTTGCCATGCCATGCAGCGAAGCCTATAAACAGCACAGCAAACATAGAATGAACAGCTGATTCACGCGCTGTCATGGGAATGCATGCCAACAAAAAATAAAGAAAGTACTCAGAGAGCGCCAACCTCCGCCACTATAGGAGATGAAGTGATGTTCTGCGATTTAATCCTTAACCCTAACTCCATAAGGGGTGTGCAAAATCGTATTAAATTGGAGGATTCAGGACTATTAGGGCTATTAAAAATCCTGGATCTAGACTGAGTTCGGGATCACTTCCAAAATCTCATCGATTTGTACTCGTACCAAGGAAATGTTTAAAATAGAAATCTAGAATTGTGTGATCGTATTCATATTATTCTATTTCCCCCGCCACTTCCCCAGTCCCCCATAGTATGAAATGGTCGAGTCAATTGACCTGTTAGTTTCAGTAGTGTGTAAGCGCTATACAACTGCCTGCTGCGTTGACCCACACACAGAGGCAATTTTTTTCTGCTCGAATGAATTGGGTCAACGTTTTTCATATGTTGACAAGACCCAGTTTTTCATATGTTGACAAGACCCAGATCTCCCAGACCCAGATTCGGATCTCTCCCAGACCCAGATTTGGATCACTTCCAAAATCTTATCGATCTGTTCTTGTACGAAGGATCATCCTAAAAAACAAATTCATGAAAATCAGTCCATAACTTTTTGAGTTAGCTTGTTCACAGACAAACCAACGCTAATGAAAACATAACCTCCTTGGCGGAAGTAATAAATAAGTAAATTGACCCGTATCCTAGGTGCCCCATTTTTCTGGCTATTAAAATTTAGAGGGGGGAAAAAAGAAAAGGTTTACCCACCCACTTTTTTTTTCAGTAACAGGAAACACTACATTTTATTTATTTAGCCACAGCATCGGCGCTAAATTTTACGCTTCAGCATTACATATATCTCTGGCTCCAAAATAATTGAAAAAGCATTATTGTCCAGTACACATTAAAACTCTCAAACTTTGGCATACATGTATTAAGAAATTTGATCCTTCTGAAGCGATGTACTCGTATGTGCCCTGGTCCAATGGTTACAGTGTTTGACCCATGTCCGTGGCACGTGGGTTGGAACCCTGACAGGGTACATGGTGCATGTGTCCATGGGCAAGACACTTTACTACAATTGCCTCACTGCACCCAGGTGTATAAATGGGTACTTGCGAGGGTGGAGACCAGACTGCACTAATCTTGGCTGCACTGAAGAAAAGTGGCCTGTTGAACAGGGGTAATAATTGTAAAGCACTTCGATACGTAACCCTTGGTGGAGAGCGGTGGAGAGCAGTGGAAAGCGTATCAGCACTACACATTATCAGTATTATTATGAAAACTGTTGGTAAATGTAGCACACAAATTCAGAAGCACAGTTTGTTCTCGGTTGCTTCATCCTAGAAGAACCTTCTTCATTTTGTTGCTTGGGACTGCTGCCTCCTCATCAGATTCGGTGTCGCTGCTGCTAGTATAGCTGCTGCTGCTGTAGTTGCCGCTGCTGCTGCTGGTGCAGCTGGGCGAGCACAGGTACTGCATCAGGGGTAGCCGGTACTTGCCGCAGAAGTCCACAAACTTGATGTGCTCAACTCGTGAGCTGAAGTACACCCCTGTGAAGTTAAAAAAATAATTTATAATATAAAGATTTTTCCAAACATTTGTGGATCAAGGATTTTCTGAAGTTGAAATCCAAGAGTTTCAGTGGCTGGGGGAGGTGTGGGTGTGGGTTGATTGTGGATGAGGTGTTGCAATCAACATATAGAAGACTATAAGGCAGAGTTACAATATTGAATGACGAGGTCATCTGGAGAACAGAAAATCCAGGATATTTTTTCACTTTCATAGAGTTTTCATTAAAATAAAATTGTTGTGCAGCTCTGCCAAGTTTTGTGAAATTGACCATAACTGTGTTGTACAGCTGCGCAACAATAACTAATCCTAAGCATGGCGTTTGTTACGCTGTGTTTCGTGAAATCGACTGCAGGTGTACTGAACATGCTAACATACCTGAGCATTTAGGATTCAGGCAATGCCGTGCTGAATCTAGATAGTGGATGAGACTGAGCGGTAGGTCCTCTGCAGTATACGCGATGCCGCGGTTCTTAATGGTGCGGCCCGCGAGTTCCAGCAACGAGGGGGGCTGCCAGGTGAAATCCCGCACAAAACGCACAACCAGCGGGTTCCCTCGCAGGCTGAGCTCACACAGGTCGCCCAGGGAGATGATTTGAGGCGGCAGGGTGGTGATGCGGTTGTTGTGGAGACTGAGCGACTTGAGACTGCGGAGATTGACGAGCTCGGAGGGCACAGTCTCAATGCGATTGTCGCTCAGCACCAGGCACGCAAGGCGAGGTAGAGAACCAAGCTCTAAGGGTATACTGGTAAGCTGGTTGCCACCAAGATACAGCCTTTCCAACCTGAGTAGAAAAGTATTAGGATGGGAAAAAGGAAAAGGTTAAATGTTGGTAAATTTTTGCAAAACGTTCATGAATGGTTAAAAGTAATGGACAACATATTTACAAACATTCAAAACCAATCTGACAAAGTACATGTACGTACATATCCAACTTCATGCAGTATCCTGTGACCATCACCAGAAATATTACAGCTTTTAAAATACTACTCCCACCCTTGGCCTTTTTGCAAGGATGTAGCCTCAATCCTGCAAAATTAATAATTTTCTTAAAAGTAGGGTAGATCAGTCGTCATTTGTGCATATTTTTGGTTTGAAGCAACAAAAGTGCTCAAAATCTTAGGACTGGATGAATTTTTACATGTATCGTAGCTCTGTGAATATATTTTGAGTAAACAATATTCTAGGATCACGATTTCAATTCAAAGTTGCAGAGTCATGTTTTGAATTACGTCCAAAATCAGCATCTGGAGCACGTTCTCATTCAGCAGTTTGCAGCTACGCGATGTCACACACTGAACCGATGAATAATACATGTACATGTAGCAACCGAGCGCGTGTACGTGTGTACTGTGTCAACATTTGCGCACACCCATTCAGGGATTCACCGAAGTACAAATAAACTACTAATGGGAATTTCCAAATGACACATCTTTGGAAATAGCCTTTCTTTGTTTTCTTCAAAATGACAGCGTCCCAGAAAGAATAATTTCACAGGGAGTTTAGTGCTGTTACTAGGCATGCTAGGACATGTAACTTTTCAACAAAATTTTGTCAGGTACATTTCTGCAAATGATCTGCTCTGCCTTTAATTGATCCCGACTACAAATGGTACATGTGTACATGTATCAGTGAATACACAATACCACACCTACATTTTGTAATTATAATTTTAGGATATTCAAATTATCCACTGCCAAGGCTAAAGAACTAGTATGGAGCTGGCTTATAAAAGCAGGTTAAAAGCCAAACTCCATGTGATTTTCATGCTAAGCAAACAACAGCTGAATACCAATCACAATTCATAAATACCTAAGACAGTTCACGCATTCCTATTGGTCGAGAGCCCGTCACGTGGCCGGTCTTAAACGGATGATAAAGACATGGCTAGCTGGTCTTAAACACTTTTCCAGTGTCACAATAAAATGTGGACTCCTAAAAATCCAGTGCCTCTTATCGTTACATTGGTTGAACGTTCACAATCCTCACATTCTGACTACCAGGGAGTCAGAATTTTATAGTTCTAAATTCAAAACGCAACGCGCCAGGTGCGTTCTGCGCGACATCGCGCAGAACATGATACGCGCGTGTCAATCTCCATAAAAGGGTTGTTTACATCTTACTCGCCAGCTGAACACTCTATTATTTTGCAAGAGGGATGTTTCAAAAAGCATAAAGTGAATTTGTTGAATAAAATTGGGATGTTTTGAACGAATTATATGATTTTTTTTTACCGAAAAGATTTATGAATGGGAATAAATGTGTGCTCCGTCGGAATTTATCACTCTGTTTAAGACCACTTAGAGTCTGGGTGCTGATAATTACCCTCGCCTCCAGCTCGGGTAATTATCAGCACCCAGACTCTAAGTGGTCTTAAACAGAGTGATAAAAACCTCTGGAGCACACATTTATTCCCTTAGTAATACATGTAGGTCTATACATCACATAGAAATTTGGTTGGTTATCCTGTTTTTGCCAAGGCAGACATCTCATGCTAAGCATATTTTTGTGCAGCTCTCCATAAAATTTGCCCCAGGTACATGTAGCTCTAGGAGGCTAATGCCCCACTCAATGGAGAACAGTTGAAAGGAGAAAAAGACTTGACCCTCTAATTTCCTGAACATTCCCTCTTGAAGACCTCCCCCCTCCCCCTACCCTGCAAGCAAAACAGTGCTTGAAATGTGACCCATGGTATGCAAGCACTCACTAACAAATGCACAAGTGGTTTTTCAAAGTCCAAACACCCCAAAGCTAGACTCTGAAGAGACAGTTGGAGTGGTTTTTGGACTACCCCATGGGCAGTCTGAAGTGATCCAATTGCATAATGCAAGACAGCAGTTTCTGTGGTAAAATGAATGGCTGCATCTTAGAGAAGTTAAAGCTACGGTCCATCATTTGCACTTTGCAGCTGTCCAAAAAGTAACTGACTTGCAACATACTTGGTTGAAAGATAGTGAGGGGACTAAACTCACTATGAAATTATTCTTTCTGCCTGGTAAACTGTCATTTAGAAGAAATCAACGAAAGAAGGCCTATCCAACGGTATGCACTGTTGGAAATTTCTGTTAGGCCAAAAAAAAAGTCTCAGGTTTCTGGTATGGAGCTTGCCCAAAAAGTAGTGCGGCGATGCGGCTTTTTTTTTTTTTTACCTGTTTTTTTGCTTCAAATGTCGGCTGATGACTGCAAATGGTGCCCAACTAAACTTAGTGCAAATATTATGGGAGACCAGAGAGGCCACATAAAGCTTATTCTCGATCATAACCCCATCTACAAACACGTTAAAATTGTGCAGCAGCAGGATTCCAGTCAAACCAGTGAGTTTGGCGGTTTTGAGACATCATCTTTCATTGAAAAAAAAACCTTTTTTCATTTTGCCGACGCGCATGGCTACGGCGACGCGCGCACCTACCAGAAACCAAAGACTTTTTTTTTTTGCCTTAGTAGTTCAGTTTTTTATTCGGCGAAGCACACGCAAGACAGTACGCAAATAACGCAATACTACAAAACATGTTGTTGCATGCATATGTGCACCTGGCATAGTCTATAGAGGGCATGGCTTAGTGGTGTAAACAATATTCCAAGGCCTTTTGACATAGGCTCAGCATAACACTACAGCCAGTGTATATTTTTCCTAGCAGGGTAGGGGTTAATGTCAGGCATACATGTTAATTCAGTTTTTCCTTTGAATCATTGCAAGACACGTACCGGTAGGTTTTAAAGGGGTGTGCTTTCTCAGTACTAAATCATGCGCCTATCTAGTCCCATGTAACTGGGACACTAGAACTCCTTTTTTACATTTGGAGATCAACATCCCAAATGTCAAAAAAGGAGTTCCAGCGCCCCAGTTAGTGGGACTAGCGCCTATCAAATATTTCCTCCCGGGTTTATAATCGAATGTGTTCAATGGGGCAATTGAATGGGTCCCACTAGCACCAGTGCCCACCAGTTTGTACGTATTACGGTACCGTGCGTAACCTTTCCAAAATTCCTATTAAAACATGTACATGTTCGCAGCAAGTCCCATTTTTTCACCATTTCTTGGGAATGACATGAATGACAGATCCTATGCCATTGTAAATTTGCAGATAGCCTCAACTACATGTAAGTACTTACATAATGTAACATACAGATGCTCATTTAAACGTTGCTTTTGACGCGGCTACAGACATAATGAAGATTTCCCTCAAGCAAGTCTGCCACAGGCCTGCGCCTACTCAGGCATGTCAGGCCAGGTCGAGTTCTAGTTACTCTGACTTGTTTACAATCAACAAAGCATTGTCTGAAATGTTCACTTGGGAAAAATGTTGCAACCTAATGCCACTTTTTTTCTTCATACTGTATATCATCTCAATGAAGGTCATTCGTTGCAAAAATGATAAGACATGAATCTGGAACTGAGAAATATTTCAAATTTTCTTGACTCTCCACAGACTTTGTACACAAGTCACAACCGCTGATGAAGTGGCGTCAGGTTGCAACATTTTTGCCGTTCACTTTATCATTTCTTATGTACCCTCACTAGTGAACAATTTATGTTCAATGTAAAAAATGGAGAGGCAAACTCACCTCTGTAAGTTCTGTATTGCTGTCGGAATTTGTCGAATTCTGTTTCCACCAAGGTAAGCAGCTTTCAATGTCTGGATTTCAGTGAATTGCATAGGGAAATCTAGCATGGTATTGCCACTGAAATTGACAGTTTCCAAAGAAACACATTTCCCGAAATCCTTAGGCAGTGAGTTTGTTTCCAACTGGTTGTTTTTACAGATCAGGGACCGCAAATGCTTCAAAGCGACGATTTCATCGGGAATTCCCGATATTCTGTTGTTGCTGATGTCCAATTCTATCAAGTTGGTATAAACACTGATAGTCCCTGGTATGGAAGACAGCGAATTTCGACTGAGATCGATGATGTTCACTTTGTGTTCTTGCCCGCTGAATTCGTCTTCCGGGAAGTCTGACAGTTGTTTGCGAGACAGCACGGCCTTGGCCAGCTGTACGCTCCCCACCGCGGCGCTGTCGCTCGGCCCGCTGTGCTCCATGACGAAACGGAGTCGGCACATAGCAAGTTCCAAAAACACTCTTTTTCGGTAACCCCCACTTTCACCAGCCAAGTTCCCGGAGAGATCGTAGATTTAGCCAGTCATGTTGGTCAGAGTAACCCAACAACTGGAGAAAAGAGTTCCTCAAATAACACGATTTTAGAAAATGAATTCGAGTCATTTTCTGAAGGATTTCAAATGCACATCATATGATACATCTTATGCTCATTGCATCACGATATCGTGAATATGCAGCCGGCAATGCAATGTGAATCAGCATTTTTTTAGTCTGGTTATTTAAGACATTAAACTTTACCCATTCCCTTTTCAGTTGTGAAAGTATCATAATGTGATGTCATTTTATTGTGAAAAATGCTAGTGTCTTGATTAACTTAGCCATTTCTAGTTCTTCAAAACTCCATTGCTTGTACTTATTGATCAGCTCTTTCAAACTCTTTTGTGGGATAATCAATTACTTCACACCCTTTTCATAAGCGACCGACGGATACAAGTCTAGTTGAACTCGCATTACTTGCACGCCGCGTGCACATGCACGCTCATCCAGCGACCAATGGCAGTGTTCCCCATTAGCACGTCACGCAAGGCCAAGTTCGTTAGTGAAGTAGGTCAACCACAAAAGGTTATGGTGCGGTCACATCATTTTCAAACCTCGGCTGCATTGCGGATTAGGCTAGTGCTGCTAAAACTCATGTAATGCCCGACGGTACGCCTGCGAAGGGAATCAAAATATTGAAGGCATTTTTAAAACAAATTCGACAGGTTGAGGTTTGAGATGCAACGCGAAAATAACATAAATTACAATGTCGTCATTATTTATTATTTACACATTGAAAAAAAAACCACCAAATTTGCGCCCCCCCCCCCCTCATCATAGAGTGGTCCTTGCTCTCCTTTTTATAGCTCCAACTTGACCATGGTTAACAAGTTTAACAGAAATTTAGCATCCCCGACTAAAATATCCAGGGATCATCAAAAGCGTAAGCGGCCCCCTTGACCATGCAGGCCGGACGCCACTTATACTCTTAAAAGAAATTTCAATAATGATATGTTTTGTTTTGTTTTGCCAATAAAACTACTTTATCGATTATGGGTATATTCCTTCCCCCATCATAGTGTGCAATTCTCTTAATTAAAACATCCTCCATGAATAGTACTTTCATTTTGGGCATGAACCACCACGAAGGATCAGGACCCGCCCTTGTTCAAGTCTTTTTCTTTTTAATAAATAATTTGTATTTTAATAACTAATTATTAAACTATTAAAACATTGTGATTTTCTTGAGATGAATACACAAATGTGAACAATTAATATAGTGTGCTAATTTCTGCTAAAGAAAAGGAAAAGAGACTCAAACTATGCTTATTGCGGCCATCTTCAAGGGCAGTGCCTTCATTAGTGAACTTTGTGCATTCTTGCTAGCGCCATCTGATGACCGCACCGCCCCTACGCTGTAATATCCAACTCCATGAAAATTTCGCTCGTACCCCCGCCCTGCAAACAGGGCGGGGGTACGAGCGAACATGAAAATATGGACTCATTGGTAGTATTGCGCATGCGTAAGTACGCTAATATGCTATTTTTAGGATCACATACGGGAGAGTGACCTGTCACGTGCGAGGGATTAACCATTAATAGGGAAAAGGAGTCCGTTTTTAGCCTTTCGCCAAGGCCATCGCGTGGCTTAGAGGGACGGAGCTGTGAAAGCACGAAGCGACTGGAGCAAAGAATAAGTCAGCACGCACGAGTGGCAAAGCCACGAGGGGTGCATGTATATATGCAACAGTGCTAAAAAAAAACATGACCCTAGCCACTAGTGCTAAATGCCCATACTTCAAAATTCTTTTCAATACTCAGAACTCTCACAGGTATTTAAGCTGCACAGAAAAATGATGATCGACATGTCATCTTTCAATTTCTTTTCATTTTTTGGTGGGTTGACCATTGACTTTTCGAGAAATTCTCACCCAAAACTAGAAGACGACCCCTATTTTCCCAAAGCCCGATAGCCATCTTGAAAAACGATCCCTCCACAACATGGCAAAATAGCGCCACTTTCGAGCCCAATTGTATCCAAAGTGCTCGTTTTGGAAGCCCCGAGTCCGGGCCAGAGGTTCATTGCCATATCTCTTCAGTACCCTCTAATATAGAATATTTGAGGGTATAACTTTTATTCATGAGCTCGGCGGATGGGTTTAGGCCTATTTACAGGTGTGCACTCCGGGGCCATTTCTAACTAATTGATTTTGTTGAATTATTCATATTTTTATGCAAATAATTAGAGTGCTGAAAGTTTAACCGATTTTGCCTAGCTGCTCTGTTCGCCGATTTTGCGAAAGGCTAGATTTTCATAGTCGGATTTAATGACACCTCCATGCCACCACACAATGCGCGCGCGCAACGCATGATCTGGTTCAATTATCGGAGTAATAAAATAACCAACAACCGAACATGATAGACCAAAATCTGAAAATGGCCGATCACACGGGAGAAAACGTGGGTGAAGTTGTCCAAACTTCGCCCCAAAAGTCTAATGTTGATTCAGAAACTGTTAAAAGAACGAAGGAAGAAGACGAAACAAATGCCGAACTTGATGATCTACTCGATAGTAAGTCTCAAAAGTCAGTCCGTTTTGTAAAACAATGAATTGTTTTTACTCGCTCGATCACGTCGTATTTTTTTGACGTTGTCCAGCCTCTAGAGGGCGCAGCTCAGCTCAGTAAATGGCAAGTTTTTTTTTTTTTTTTTTCATGGGATGTCTTTTCCTTTTGGTGATTGGTAGACATAGTAGATCAGGCCAAACATGATTGTTGTGCGGATTAATGAAGTGCATCAGGTCGGGTTGTCGAACCTGGTTTATTGACCAGGCCAAACTGACCAGAAACATATTTAGACATTTGTAGCGCCTTGAGCACCAGTCCTGGTGGATACGTGCGCTTTATAAATATCCACTATTATTATTATTATTATTATTATTATAAACAGAATCCGAACCGAGGAAAAAATTTTGCAACCTGATGACACCACTTTCGGCACTTTCTTCTTCATATTAATATTATCATCTCAATGAAGGTCATTCATGATTCATTGCAAAAATTAGCTTGAGTAACTCCAGCTGACATGCTCATATTCATTCACATGTAGCGCTGGAGGAATAACCTGTTCGTTTCCACTGGTAGCCTAGCAAGAGACCCTAAAAAAAACGGCCTCTCCAAAATTGTCCGAATTTCACATCTTTTATCCCACCCCAGAGTTCATTTACATACCTCATACATTCAGCAGTCATTTACGAAGCCTAATGATCGACTTGAAACAGACCACTCTGGGGTGGGATAAAAGAGGTGAAATTCTGACAATTTTGGAGACTCCGTTTTTTTAGGGTCTCTTGCTACCACATGGAAACGAACAGGTTATTCCTCCAGCGCTACATGTGAATGAATATGAGCATGTCAGCTGGAGTTACTCAAGCTAGCAAAAATGATGATTGTTATTTAGACATGAATCTGGGACTGAGAACCTTTTTGAATTTTGTTACGAAATACTTAGACAATTTTCTTGACTCTCCATATAGACTTTGAACACAACAATCGCGGAAGTGGCGCCAGGTTGCAACATATTTTCCTGAACTGAAACCGATCTTAACTCCCTCAAACCGCCCCGTCCAAACCCGAAAAAAAAATAAGGTAAAACCGACCCGAAAACCCCCCGAATATCTGGCATGGACAAAGTGATCACTTTTTATCCCCTGGCTGTAAACCGGAGGGGGTTATATGGAGCTGTACAAAGAATTACTTGACCAATTTATTTACTTCATTCAATGAGTATGCTATGTTTCCTTAATATCGGTTCCTTTTTGGCTACTTACATCAGTTCCATAGCAACACGATAGAATTCTTTTACCAAATAATCAAGCTCGATTGGAAATATCTCGAAAGCTGCAGGCCAACAAATTCGTGTTCATGCATGAGTCATGTGATTGTGCCATGTACGGAAGGAGTAGTGTTTTGAGTAAAAAAAAAAGGTGTTTGACACCAGTGACCCCATGATGACCTTTGACCCCAGTTTGGTCATGTGATGACATGTTGGGGCTGGGCTACTGATACTTTTGACAAAGTGTGGTTGAAATCGGTTAAAATATGTACATGTAGGAGCAATGGACAATGTCAACGTTTATTACCCCAAGAACGTATGAGTCTTGCTACACAATACCGATAGACGCGCCTCGTGATTGGCCCATCTGACGTCACGCTCGATATGCACCATAGACAGTGTCTGTGGTCGGTTCCCAGACCAAAATACTCTGACTATTCTGACGTCACGCCAACAACGCTTCGCGTGCACGTTAAAACGTTAAAACTCAAACTGTAGCTTTGGTACGGAAATGGGACTGTTTTCATCATTTTTTTACACCATCGGATCGATTCAACCCTTATACTTTAACCCTTATACAGCGGCTGCTCCAAAATTCACCTCCAGGCTGACTGTATATTAAGGATCTATGGGTAGACCTGTTGTGTAGCAAGACCCATGGTTCTTGGGGTAAACGTTTATTACTCACTTAACCAACACATGATTTTTTACCAATTAAAGGGAATATACATCATTTGCTTTTGCTGTAATTTTCAGAAATGGATGGAATTGGGGGGTTGGAAATATATAGCAATTATATTTACACTGACTTTTTTGAGGTTTTGAGTTCGAAAATGCTATAAAAACCAAGAAAACCAATCATTTTCCTGTAGTCTGGTTCCCTGACTCCATATAAGGAGAAACAGAGCAGTGTACATACATTGGGGAATTGTAAGGTCAGGGAACCAGTCTAGCTGGCTTGTACCCGTTCATAGGTGTGTAATCGATTGCAAACAAGTGCGATGGTCAATTGGGGCCAGTATTTGAAAAAATCCAGTTTTTTCCAATGCTGGTCGGCCGACCAGCATTGGAAATTGATACAAAAATACCACTTTTCTTGACAATGACAGTATACCAGGTGCCATGATTCTACAGGATGCTTTACACTGTCATTCACTAACAGTCCAGCAAGGTATTTCAAAATGATTTGGTAGTTTTATTTTTTGATGTTTGCAAATGATGTATTTTCCCTTTAACGAAAACAGAACAGAACAAAACTACTGGGGCTTCAATGGTACATGTACTGATAATAATTTTTGTGAGCTGCAAATAAATGGAATTGGACCGCAATCACGAACCGTCCACACACTGCCTGCCTGCTTGCCACATTGTTATTTGACTACACGCACGCACTAAGGAGGTTCACAATTCTAAACTCCCACATTTCAATTGTACCATCAGGTGCTCTGAAGGATTTTGAAAAGCCAAAAGCTGTGGCCGCTGACCAAGAGCTTCCTGATGGGAAGACTGAAGCTGTGGCAGGCTCCAGCAAGACACAGGCTGCATCCCAAGAGGTAAGGAGTCATCCCAACAAATATCAAGGGCGAAGTTGAGGAAAGGTTTATCTGAAGTTTGTTTCAGGTATTTGTTCACAGGATACTGCAGCAGATTTCCTTAAAGGGAATATACATCATTTGCTTTTGCTGTAATTTTCAGAAATGGATGGAATTGGGGGGAGTTGGAAATATATAGCAAATATAGTTACACTGACTTTTTTGAGGTTTTGGTTTCGAAAATGCTATAAAAACAAAGAAAAACGATCATTTTCCTGTAGTCTGGTTCCCTGACTTCATATAGGAAGAAACAGAGCAGTTTACATACATTGGGGAATTGTAAGGTCAGGGAACCAGTCTAGCTGGCTCGTACACGTTCATAGGTTTGTAATCGATTGCAAACAAGTGCGATGGTCAATTGGGGCCCAGTATTTGAAAAAAAGCCAGTTGTTTGAAATTGATACAAAAATACCACTTTTCTTGAAAATGACAGTATACCAGGTGCCATGATTTTACAGGATGCTTTACACTGTCATTCACTAACAGTCCAGCAAGGTATTTCAAAATGATTTGGTAGTTTTGTTTTTTGATGTTTGCAAATGTTGTATTTTCCCTTTAAACCTTACTCAATGGTGTAACTCCACTTAAAGGTAGAGGTGATCATTTGTAGCTATCCAATAAGTAACAGCAAATTATTGTTGAAAAGCTTACTTGGTTTCAAGATAGTAATGGCACTAAACTCCCTGTGAAATTATTCTTTCTAGCATACTTGTCATTCTGAAGAAAACAATGAACGACGGCCATTTCCAAAGATGAGTCAAGTGACGCACTTTGGGAAATTTCTGTTTGTGAGCATTTTGTAATTCGACAAATCCATTTCAGAATTTGGGACATTTTGCTGTCTCGAATTTTCTTTTCTTTGGTGGAGTCGTTGTTTCAGTATGTGATAGTAAGCCAATGAGCAAACTTTTCTCCAAAATTTTCCAGTGAGTAAATTTTTGGGTTCACAATTGGAACAGAACTGAACAGTGTCTTCCTATTGACACTATTAAAGCAACGGCGCCCTCAGTTGTCAGGAAAAGCATAGCAAATGTTAAATGTTTAAAGAAGTAAACTTTTCAATAAAATTAACCAAAAAGGAAATGTCAACCAGTTTTCATACGTTTAAGAGGAGTAGAAAGTTGCACAAAATGCGTTAAAAAAACTTAATTTTCATGGACCCTTTAAACTGCATGTTGGAGGATTTTGGATGGTTTAACCAATTCGCGCCAGGAATATTTTTGCCGAAAATTTCGATTCTCGCAAAAGGCAAAACTTTCCAGAGAGCTTCTGATATACAGCTAAACGCCACGAATACTGATTCGCAAGAGTCATTTCAACAGTATTTGTACAATACTTCTTGCCGAAACCTCATATGTTTCAATACTCCAGGGTTTGCACTGGAGCATAAATTGTAGAACAATAGGCCAGGCACAACGGCCAATTCAAGATCAACACACGGTCCATCTCCACAGACTTCACAGACTTTGTGTGTGTGTACAAAGTGTGTTTAGATGTCACCCGGAGGCGAGTCGAGGCAATCTTGACGTCTTAACCCATCAGCCGTTACTGTGTATAAAAACAGCCAGTGCCTGTTATCCTCCGACGCAAACTGGTTAAGAAGTATCCTAGCAACAATACTTAGAACTTGGTTGTAATGGTTACCCCCTTTTCCCCCTTTTTAGGCCCCGCCCCTTCCACCAGGTCAGGAGGCCTTGTTCAACCAGCTCTTTGCCGGTGGTGATGGCGCAACAGACTTTGAGTCAGTCATGAGCAGTGTCATGTCAGAGCTTGGCAAAGATCTTGGGCAGGATCCTGGCATGAATGATGATCTGCTAGCCAAACTACTACAGGGTGGAGGTGCTGAGGGTAGGTAGGATGCAGGGTACTAGACCCCAGATTATGGGTGGAGCTTATGTTTGAGGAGGGGGAAAAAATACCTTTTCTTCAGGGGAGGGGGGGGGGAGTACATGTATGTGACCTGTCACAATAAATTCAACGTTCCAGTTTTTGAAAGATTCAGGTACAGTGTAACTAGGGAGGTCACAACGAGTGTTCTATACAGTCATGCATGTGTATCGTATGGTCCGAATAGCTTCGCGTTGAATTAGTACCAACTTAAAACAAAAAATTACGTATGAAAATGTCGTCCCAGAATAATTTCCTTTTGGATTTCAGTTCCTCAAATACTAACCTAAATGACTTCAAAGGATGGTTTATCTGGGTGTATTAGATCTCTGTACAGAGAGTCGCAAGTTTTGTATAAAATGCGTGATTTCCATGCTTCCGCGATTCACTGTGCAACAGTATACGCTCAGGCTCCACAGACAACTCCGATCCGCCGAACAAAATATTTTAAAGCCTGTTTTCAAGCGCCCGGCCGACTCAGTGCGAGAGGGCGCTATACTTCCTGGCTCTGCTGCGTTTCCAGATAATAATTCAAGGGGTCACTAGGCCTTTCAATAATTACAATCCGACTTTTGGTTCATATGTTACAAATAAAACAAATATTCATTCGTAAATAAAGTAAATAATAATTAATTCAGATATTATGATTTTGGTATCATTTTAAAGAGCAAGTTTTCATTAAATAATTTCTATTTGGATCAATTTCTCACAACGCTTTGCACGTGGTCGGAAAACAGGGTGAACGAACTATATGCAGTGAGCCAACGTTGTGCGTTGTGACAGAAATGCGTCTCATTTCGTGCGCGATGATTTGCGCAAATTCGTGTTACTAGATTCAATTTATAGAGCTGCGGGGACATCGCAAAAGGAAACCGAGTGTCTCTTATTGAGAAATCTACGACCAGGTAATTATTCAGTCTTTTATTTTATACAAATATCAGGAGAAAATTGTAATTTAAAATGATTAAAATCGTCATGTACTGAACGTTAGTATGAATTCACTGGGAATCCCGATGCGAAAATGGAAAGTATGAAAAGCTCTCCCAATATTTGTTTGGATGGCTTATTTCTCATTATTAAAGTATTGTGATAGGATAATAATACCAGATTTATAAATATAAAGCATGACAAAAAACATCAAATGTTGTACATTTTGCCCTTCAAGTTCATGGTTCGCATGGTACACTTTCACTCGTCTCAACCACGATTTTAGTGTTACACACAGCTCGTCATCCGCTTTTTTGGGGGGCGATACCATTTTTAGTATAGGTGTGAAAAAACGAATGTGCATTGTAAAACTAATGAAATATTATTGATATTGTCTGCACTTTCCATCAGAAAATATTTAGTTTTAGGAAATTTGTTCCATAATATTACAATTTATAATAGTGTTGCACATTTTCTGCATATTTTCCAAATTGTCTACTTGTGTTTTTTTTCTTTTGCAAGGTCGTCATCCCTATTTTACCTATTGGCTGAGTCCAAAAAGTTAAATCCCAATTATTACATTTAAAAACTTGTTTTGACAGGTTTTTTATATATTTTTTTAAAATAAAAGTAGGCTTTAGGCTACTACACTAGCCTAGGTCTAGGGTGAACGAAAACATGCCAACCACTGATGCCAAAATAAAGTGAAATGCAAGTCATAATTAGTATTATTATTATTTTTATATCTGGACAGTTGAAGGAGCTAGCCCCAAAATCATCCAACTCAGAGTGTGAAGATCAAACGTCTGACTCAGAAGATGACACTGCCACTTCGGACTCTGAAGATGACACTTCCGCTTCGGACTCTGAAGATGACGACGACACTGAACCACCCAAGAAGAAAGCCAAGATGACATGTTGGAAGCGTGGAGACTACATCATTGCAGCGTGGACAGTATATGGAAACTGGTTTCCAGGCATAGTGAGCTCAGTGATAAGCGACGAGATGGCCATTGTTAAATATTTTGTACGTTCAAAAAACAAGGATAACATTTTTGTATGGCCACCAGACTCTGACATTCAGACTACTCATACCAGTCAGGTATTGGCTTATAATGTGGACATGTTCCCATGTAGTAACCTCAGATTCCACCAGCTGAATATTGACATTAACAAGATGAACCTGGAATTTGCTGCATTTAGTAACTCATCGTAATTTTGTGCAACTGATTCAACTGGACAACAAAATGAAACTCAGTCAAAGGTCAGCACAAAGACATGTACATTTAACTTGTGATGGATATCTTTATTATGAAATGTAACATGACAGTACTTGTGATTGGTAACATAGATGATTATGACAAACAATTTTATTTTGATATGATCTATCAAACTTTGGTAACATGTCAATATGCAAATTAGTAGTAAATTACTTACCATATTACCAAAACACACATTTCTGCTCATCTGAGTGTAAAACTGATGATTTTATTGTGTTCAGCACCCCCCAAAACCCCCTATATGACACACATTTTTTTAAATATCTGGTACGTAGAGGGAGTTATGAGTCATACGCATATTTAATGAGCTCGACATAGCCAAATTTCCTGATGACCCATTTTGCCGGAGGCTCAATTTGACACAAAGTAGTCATTTTGAAGGATCAAATTTAAAAAAATAATATTAAACACATACTTTCTGCTTTATTTTCTTGATTTATGTATCAAATACTTTACATACACTTAATATTGGACATTTTAAGGCACTAAATGTTACATATATATGCCTTTGAAAACGCAAAATCTTCAAAATCATCATTTTCACCCAATTTCGCATGAAAAACCACGCTTTTCTTGACAGTTTGATTGAGCATATTTCGAAAACACTTCAACCGATTTGAACGATTTAAATTGCATTCTTATTTTTTTATCTTACTCTTTCAAATAAAGTAATTCCCAGCATTTTCTGGGAATGTTTAAAAAATAGTGTGTCCCCCCTAGTGTAACACAGCTATAAGAAACATCGCGGGATCGACAGAAAATGTTGGGTATTGCTGAATGTTAGGTATAGCGGCGTTCCACTGCACATTTTGTTTGTATTTCTGAATTGTGAGGAACGAGAGGTTTTCAATTGGGTGTGAACGACGAGTTTGACTAGTCAATTAGTTTCCAATGCAAAAAAAAGAAACGTTGGTAGTGACAACCATAAATTTGTAAATATTCGACTAGTTTTTATGCCACGACTACCAATCTTTGCCGCAATACTTACACTGTACATGTAAGTACGCACTGACAGACAATAAGTGTCTTGCAGCGATTTCATCGAATCTACTGAAGTATTCATGAAAATAACTTCACCCACTTATGAAAAAAAATGTGCGCAAGATAGTCTGTTATTGATACCCTAATAGTGTTGAATCCTTCAATTTTAATACGATTTTGCACACCCCCAAGGAGTTAGGGTTTTACTGTCTTGGAACAACACTACCAAAATATTTCCCAATTTTCAGCAACAGTTTCCTCTTTACAGCCTTTCCAGGATTTGGCTCTGCACCGCCAACAGAGGGCGCTACAACATCAGGCAATGAAACACTTGAGAGTACGTTAGGCGACACCATCAACCGATTGGTGCAAAGTGCACAGGACCTGAAGGTAGGAACCAGAGGACATGTCATTGACATGCTGTTGACATGTTGCCGTGTGATTGACATCTGAAGCACGTTTTGGCGCTGTGACCGTAAACATGTTTCTGGTTCGCGGCCGTTTTGGGGCTTCGGTTACACTGAAATGACGTCATTGTTTCGACCAAAGTTGAACCGAGGTTTCCGGTCGGTTCACTTATGTTTCAAGATGGCGGAAAGGTAAACAAGCTTAGCAGACGACGTTACTTTTTACCATAAATGGGGTTTAAATAGTGGGGTTTTATCTTCAATTGGTACGAAAGTTGATACAGAATATCAGGCCCACTCTTTTTAGAACTTTAAGGAAACGCTATAAAAAAACCTCCTATATTTTGCTTTGAATGTTATTGTTAATCATGTCCGGTCGCCGCGTTAGTTTTTTGAGTTGTGTGCAGTCACGTACTCTGTAGGCAGTAACATGACGTCTTGAACAATTTTCCGGTCAGTCGTTTTCGCGGTGCACTGGAAACATGTTTCAGGTCACGGCTGTGACGTCAGAAACATGTTCCAGTTCAAGGGCTGCCAAAACGTGCTCCTGATTGACATGTGATTTTCATCTGATTGACATATGATTGACATATGATTGACATGCGATTGACATACATGATTGACATGTGATTGACATGCGATTGACATGTGATTGACATGCGATTGACATGTGATTGACATGCGATTGACATGCGATTGACATGCGATTGACATGCGATTCTCATGTGATTGACATCTAATGGACATGTGATTGACAAGTGGCTCGCATGTGATTGACATGTGATATTTGACTTGCGATTGACATGCAATGGACATGTGGTTGACATGTGATATTTGACTTGTGATTGACTTGGCATTGATTAACATGTGATTGACATGTGATTACAAGTCTAGAAAAGCCTGAGGAATCATTGTGGGCCACTTTATGTTTTTGACCAGGATGGCAACGTACCAGAGGAGGAGGTGTTAAGACAGATGGAGAACATGCATCTTGGAGACGGTTCAGAGGGTGAGATGATGCCCATGATGCAACACATGATGCAGAGCCTACTCTCCAAGGACATTCTGTATCCATCTCTCAAGGAAGTCGTAGAAAAGGTGAGTAGAAACGTAGCAGATATCGTTTAAAGGTAAAATCAGTGAATATACATTTTTTTTTCCTTCAAATAATCCAAGTTGCTTATACCCTGAATCCTTTGTGCACAATAAAATCAGTCTTGCGTAGTTCGGGTAATACACACACAAACCAGTACACCCACTCTTGTTTTACTATACTCCCGAGGACAATGCTTTGTGTTTTCCTTTATCCCTGAAATATAACACTCTCCTATAGACTAAGCACAAAAATCTACCACATAGGACCGTTTTGAACTACAGACCCAACTCCCGAGGACTGAAAGGATCTGTTGTTCTCCCTTTGTGTGTCTGTCCTCGGGGGTTATGTAGAACAAGTATGTGAACATGGAGCTCTCGAAATTGGTCAAACAGGTGCAATCTCTTCTGGGAACAGCAAAACATTTGATCAGGTGATTCCTGCACCTTTGATATTCTCTCACTTCTGTCTTTCCCGTCCGCAGTATCCAGTGTGGCTGGACGAGAACCAGTCTACAGTCAAGCCGGAAGACTTTGAACGTTACACGCAGCAGTTTGAGCTCATGAAGAGGCTATGCACAGAGTACGAATCGGAGCAGTCAACAGACTCCACGGACGTCAAACAGCAACGGATGACCAGAATAATGGATCTCATCCAAGAGGTGCAGTCATTTAGGGCGGAGCCTGTCCAGAATATCTCAATATTCAAATATTCAAATGTGCATGAGATCATAGTTTGAATATTCATAGCCCATAGATACATATCCTATTTGGGGCTTCTCAAACACAGTTGTTTCCAAGTTTTTTTTTTTTTTTTAAAGAAGCCAACATTTTAAACTAATATACAGCATTTGCAAACATCAAACACAAAACTACCAAATTATTATTATTATTATTATATGTGGAAATGTACCATTAAGGAGACATGGTATCGTAATTTCTTCGAAGGGTGGGAGACATCGGTCATGAAGGAGACATTTTCATGTCTCCCTAATGTCACAGTCCCCTTAAGAGGCACAATTTTACGGTTGCAATTAGGTTATATTTGTTGCTCGTGGACTAATTAGTAAACATACCCAAATTCGTGGACAAAGGACAAGGGAATATTGGGTTAGGGCACATTTAAGTTTGAACATTTTGTGCACAAGTCTATGGGAATGTCTCCCTAATGACCGGAGGCAATGAGAAGACATTACAGTTCAGAGGTGGGAGGAAAACCCCAGAAGAATATTCTGGGAAAACCCACGGAATCAGGCAGGGACTGAAAACCGAATCCACATGTTGGCCCAGGTGGGATTTTTACCCAGGTCACAGCGGTGGAAGGCGAGGAAAGAACCACTACATGTACGCCAACCTGACTCTTTGAACTACCATACTTGACTGCGAGTTAATAAAAGTCTCAAGCATCCTGTGAAATCATGGCACCTGGTGTGCTGTTATTTTCTGGTCATTTTTAAGGAATTTTTTTATCAATTTCCATGGATTATTTGTGGGATTCAGTGAATGCTGGGCCTCCTCTAGTGCTGTAGTGGTGCAAAAAAGGAACAGGAACTCTCTGATAAGTCGAATGAGCAGGCTATTCATTTTTTTTTTAGTCATGAACCAAAAAGACCGTCAACAAGTGAATGCAGTCACAATCTGAGACCATGGAGCAAATTGGGGACGTTCCAGTTGTTTTCTTTAGCTGTGTCACAACAAATGACACTTAGGGTGAAGTTGAATTTTGACATTTTTGATGTGAAATAATTCATTTCTGTTGATCTGGTTTTTGGTTAAAATTTTCAGATGGAAGGCCTTGGGCAACCACCCACGGATATTGTTGGGGAAGGGGTAAGTAGCTGTTTCGAACCCTTTTTGTCATTTTTGTTTGCATACTTGGCATAAGGACCCCCCCCCCCCAAAAAAAAGTCCCCGGTTTCTGGTATGGAGCTTGCCCAAAAAGTGGTGCGGCGACGCGGCTTTTTTTTTTTTCACCTGATTTTTTTGCTTCAAATGTCGGCTGATGACTGCAAATGGTGCCCGACTAAACTTAGTGCAAATGTATGGGAGTCCAGAGAGGCCACATAAAGCTTATTCTCGACCATAGTGGTGGAAAGTGCAAGAATCAATTGGTGTTGATTTTTTTTTAAATTTTCAGAAATAATATTTGCCAAAACAAATAGTTCTGCTTCCGATTACATGGCATTTGAAAATTGGGTAGGTAGGTAGGGGATTTTTTATTTTTGGGGGGGCAATTTTTTGTGTGTACGATCATATAGAGGTGTCTACATGTAGTCAAGGGTAAAAGGTAGGAATTGATGGCTTCGTTTTTTTTTTTTTTTTTCATTTAAAAAAAAAAAAAATTATGATAGGGGCTGTCAAAATAGGGTAGGTAGGGTAAGTGAGAAGCAGAACTCTTTTTTGGGCCTTATTAATAGTCTTTGATATGTCCACTACACATTTTCTTTTATATATTCTATAAAACTCTTGGAATGAAAGTGCTTTATGGAAAAACGTTAGTCATCTTTCATGACTACAAAACAGTCAACAGTTTGAAGTCCTTTTTCTCAGTATTTTACTTTTTTGACATGTTTGATAAATAAATATCCATAACTTATCAACGGAATGTCCCATGGAAGTGCAACAAACAGTACTGTTTCGAGCATTCTATTCTCTTTCCTAATACCCACAAACCCTCATTTTGACCTCTGCCCTGGCTCGTTTTGCCGAACACCTCACACATATGTTAATTTTTCAGGTCTCGTAACTGGATTCCGTTGCTAACGTTCATAAAAAGTGTGCCTGCAGCCACACGTTTTTTAAACCCACCTTGAATGAGTTTTTGTCCGAAGGATAGGGTTTTCAGTTCTACTCCAATCTTTAGTTTTAGCGGTGTTTTTTACACTTAATTGGTAGGTACTTTTCTGGAAAATTAGTTACTTTTCCAAAAAACTAGCAGTGTTTCTATGTACCTTTATTCTTAAAACAAAATTGAAACATGTTCCATGCAATTTTTACATGTTACATTGTATTTGATGGGCATATGTATGCACATGTATAAAGTGCCATTTTCCAACAGTACTCTAACATACATGTATGTTGTTGCAGGGTACCGGGCTCGGTCTGCAGTTTGATGGGCAAGGGATGCCAAAGATACCAGGGATGCCACAGGGGGACCAGTGCAGCATCATGTGACACTAACAAAGACCTGCTATTATTTGAGAATCCAGACATCGACTTGTGATTGGTTGGTGAGCTGTCGCCAATGACTCTGATTGGTTGAAAGATCAGTAGTGGCCGGAGGTCACTTTCCAAATTTGACTATGCGATTGGATGAAGGTGGCACCATAATGACCTGTGATTGGTTGAATGAAATTCAAGCCTTGATTGGCTGGCCAGTAGCAAGTAATGCCATGTGATTGGTTAATCCGAATCACATCAAGGTGTTAGTCCCAGTTTCTTCTAAATCTCGGTTTAGTTCTGGAATATATTGCAGGATTGTTAAAACGGCATCCCAGTTACTGTTATACTTATTGCTCCTTGAAAGATCATTTGAAAGAATTATCGGATTGGTTTTCGCCAAAGTGAAGGATTTTGGAGGATTTAAGAAGACATCACATTTTATCATGTAACATAGAAGTGTACTCTGATTTGACAGTGGCTGGTATATTACTATTGGGAATATATATATGTGCTTGGCCAGTTTTAAACAAGTACGTTTAAAACTGGCTGGAGGCCTGGACGCTGATAATTGCATTTAATACCCGAATCAAGTTTTAGGTTTTAAACGTACATAAATACATGTAGGCTCCTGATGCCAGGACAGCATTTTCAGCGGCTTTCATTTTAAAATCTCAGTGGGATACCTCGTTTGTTGTATCGTTGCAATACGCTAAACAAGTCAAGACAATCCTAGTAAAGCCGGTCCCAGACGGCACAATATTATATTCCATTGGTTCAAAATGGCCAATCGTTTGAAATCTTTTCATACGTATGTGACCTGCACAGTCGGCCAGATTTATCCCATTCATTGGCTTTACAGGGTACTTCCATTTCAAAGCTTTTTGGTCAAGGCAAGACTTAAGCAAGTCTAATTCTAAAGTGACTGGGAGTCAGTCAGTCAGTCAGCAGAAATATAAGAGTTGTGAAAAATCTGCAAGAAATCACTTAATATCATCGCAGTGCAACCTTTTGCTTCATTGTGCTTCCATTTCCACTTTCAACTTTCAGGACATGTCGAAAATTCTGACATGCTGAACAAGGAATTTGTGCCCTGTGTTGTATATCGTGCAAATTATGTGCAAAGTAGTATTTGGGTGACAAAAGTGATTAAAGTCATTTTCTAAACTTGACATGTGACCGTTCTAGACCAATGAAATTACAGTAGCCAAGAAGTCCTGTAACATCTTTGTTAGTATAGGTTTGGGATTGGTTGGAGCTGATTGCTGTTGATCATTGTAGGTGTTCAGTGATTGGTTAAATTTCCCATCAGTGACCTGTGACCAATTGTTAGGCCACCAATGGTGTGTATTCTTTGTTAAATCTGAGTAAGTTTTATAAAGTCAATAGGTGATTGGTTGGCAGGGTCCCTATTATTTTAATATTCATGTTGTTGGACTGAAAAAAAGAAACAAGCAATCAATATCAAATCAGTAAATGAATTGTGTTAATTTCCTTGTATTAAAAAGTATTGAAAGATGTACTGTTTGAGCTAGATTTTAAACGACTATTTTTTTCGCAATGCAAATTTATTCACTTTGAGACACAGAACCAAATTATTTGTAAAATGGAAAAACAAGAATTGAAAATAAGACTATGAGACACAAAGGTGTATATTTAGGGACTACACTAAAACAATTACATTGCATTAACCCTTTAACTTCAAATGCAAATACATTTTGTACACAGATGCTTCAATTGTTGGGAAAATTGCATTGCTATTATGTCAAAATAATTTTACCCATTGGTATTGCTGAAAACTGACCATGGTTTAGGTGCTATAATGCTCCCTGAAACATTTTCTAAATGAATTGCTTACATTTTTCTATCATCACTTATGTTATGAACTTTTCAGTGATAAAAAAACCTGGCCTCTGAGTAAACAGCTACTACTTTAACATTTTTAATAAGCAAGCAATTCACATCAGTGATGTTAATTTTAATCCACCTTATTTCCTGTCAAAAACTAAGAAAAGATTAAAGGTATTGTGCAACATTTGCAAACATTAAAAAACAAAACTACCAAATTAAAATGTAATAGCTTACTTGACTGTAAGTGAATAATAGTCTCAAGCATCCTGTGAAATCATGGCACCTGGTGTGCTGTCATTTTCAAGAAAAGAAGAATTTTGTATCACTTTCCAATTACTTTTTCATCAAATACCATGCTGCCCCCAAATCACAAACTTTAGTTAATGAGGGTACACTATTTATGTATTCGTTTTCACACATGAACGTAGTGCATTATGCTCATAATTCTACTGATCAAACTGTGCTTTCTTGTATGATTATAAGTGTATCATTTAGTATAATTGTATGTATTTTGATACACGTGTAAATAATCATGTATAATATTGTTCATGAAAATAAAAAATATCCTCAAATTCAGTGGTATTTTGTCTGACTTAGAGTAGTGATATGTCAGTGTTCCCTTTACACTTTTAGTCACATTTTTGTCTGCTGTCGTACGTTCGTCCTAATTGTCTGAATATTGCAGTACAAAGTGGGATTTTTTAATAATTTTAATCCATATGACTCTTCAGAACATTTTGTAGCTGGATATACTTTACATTGGGTTTCATATACAAACATTATAGGACAGGTTGAGAATTTGTTTTTAATCATAACTCTCGGTATCTGTAAAAAAGAAAAAAAGGGTATGTCATTCATGGATCACCGTATTTTTACAGTTAAATAAACAGCGCCCTCATTCTTGTCTTATTACACTTTTCAAGATGGCGCTGCCCATAGACCAGAAAGAATATCTCAAGCGGTATTTGTCCGCTGAGCCGGAAGATTCGAAGAAGAAAAAGCGACGAAAGAAAGTAAAAACTGCCATTAAAGTGACCCGGTAATACAACAACGTTATTCCAAATTTTATGGGGATGAATATACGCCCAAATTGTTGGTTTTTCGCAGGTTGTTATTCTTATTCCAGCATGTCCGATAGCTGTAACCATTGATCTCCATATACACAGACTGGATAGGACATCGCGCCGTGTTTGTGCACGAATGCGCGGCCGAACAATGGCGGCGCGTTTACTGTCAGACGGGTAAACGCGCATTGTGCTTTCACTTTGTAATGGATTATAGAGTGAAATTTTTCTTACAGGAGGGAGTTCAAGCGCTCCTCCAAAACAAATCTTTAAAAAAAACAACTAACTGAACTATGAAGAGTTACCCTCAATCCCTCCAGACAGCTTTTCCACACTTTCTTGATATACACTTTCTTATTATGCATTTTCGAAATTCAAGAATCCCCCATTTCCTTTTCCTTTTTGTGTGTGTGTTAAATCCCTCCTCCTCCCAAAAACGATTGTAAGTAAATTGCCAATTTATTTTTGGCACATTGGTCATTAGAGCACACTGAATTACTCCATCAATGAAATGATTATTGTCTAAATAATAATGCTGAAATGACATCATATTTTTTTAACTGAACACTCACACGAGAAATTGTATGGAGATTCATTCAAATGATTGATATATTTATTAAAAACCCGAACATAAACCAATTAGAATCTAAAAGGTAAGAAAAAAACTTAATTTTACAAAGTAATCAGTAAAAACTTCTTCCCGTCCCTAGATTGATCAGGGAATGACATCGTTCACCTCTTGTGATATTGTGTGAAAGGAGATGAATCACAAACCAAAATTCTATTTTTGTCAAAGAATAATTCAAGCTACGCACGGTCTTGTTTTATAATTAAATGTTTAGCTATACTTCTGAAAATAAATGTAATTACTTGTAAGTGTAATGGGAATCGTTTTTGTGAGCGAATAGGACGGTGTATTAACGGCTATAGCTAATAATCTTATATAAAGGCGCACACAATATAATTTCAAACTGTAAAAGTACTGATTGCTTTCTTCACCATACAAACTGTCAATAATGTGTCAGTCATCTTGGGAACTCACAAAAATACTTGCGTTGAACTCCACAGCTTCTTTCCAAAAAGAAAATCAATCAATCTTAACAGTTCCGCATCGTAAAAATTGATTAAGTCAAACTCTCAGATGCCTATCACATCGCATGTTCCATTCAGTGGATGATACAGTTGATTCCATCCCTCCGTGAAGTTCTTCATTTTCGTCCGTCTCGGATATCGTCCTGCACCTGGTGGTTTTTGCTATGGCTTTGCTGAAGTTCTTTGTTTGATATGAAGGTCAATCTGCCGGTTGTGCAGTAATTTAGCATAAACCATCTCCTCGGTTTCTCTTTATAAAGAAAAAAGAATAGAAACATTTCGGTAGGCGTTTAAGGCAGACATAATTCAATCAGATTTTGCATATAAAAGTTATAAAAGTTATTCCAATAAACTATTTTAAACAAGTCAACTTTTGTTCATTGCCATTGCCGGGTCAGTCATGGACGTTTAGGCCTATGTCTTTTAAAGAAAAATGATGCCGACCAGCATGACAGGCCTAGATCGCATGGAATTTGAACAGAATATCTCGCTATAGCTACCACACAGGCCTCCATCCCCTCAAACTCACAGCGACATTAACGATATTATAATTTGCTTTTTCATTCCCGCGTTCATATTCCTCCATGCCGTGTTGTATAGGCCTCGTTAAAAAAAAACTTACTTGCGAATAATTGTCCTATTCTTCATCATCATTTGCTTTGTCATTCCCGTGCTTATATTCCTCCATGCCGTGTTGTATAGGCCTCGTTAAAAAAAAAACTAACTTGCGAATAATTGTCCTATTCTTCAACGCTCCTGACTTCCCGACTCCAGCAATCTAATGCTGCGCACACCTTGACTATACTCCTCGTCGATTTTGATCAATTTAGATCTCTGTTTCTTTTATTCTTTCAAAAATGACAAAGAAACCGAAGAAAACCCAACTTCATTTTTTAATCCTCCGTTCGAAAGTGTACACAATTCGAAATGCGAATTTGTGTTCTTTACCCTTTTCAAAAAACGCGCGCGCGGACGCACGTTCGTACGCGATGTCCTATCCAGTCTGTGTATATGGAGATCAATGGCTGTAACGCAATCAACCTCGTTCCCATGGACACAGTGATGTATGTATACGATCTTCCTGTGCGATGCCGCCATGCCTTTTGCGATATTTTGTAATTTTAATCTCCCACTATTTTGGCGATTAAAAAAGACTGCATTTCAAAGTATTTTATGTGCAACGAGGCGCTTTCAATTTTGAATCAATTTTTAGAATCAATTGCAAATCCTTTCAAAGTTGAGATTTAGATAATTTGTTCGCAGTGGCTATTGTCATGATTGTTACGGCAGCCGTAACGCATTTCCCATTTTCTATCGTTACGGTAGACTGCAACTTTTATAAAAACATGAGAAGAAAATATAGGAAAAAAGTGAATTTGAACGTTATGAAATTCGGACTTTATTTCCCTTTAAAAAAAAATCCTCCAAAGCCTCAGGTTAGAAAAGGAAAAAATTCGAGTGCAAAACTGAGACACGAACCCGCAACCTGACGGTGCAAAATCCTACCCTCTATCGACTGAGCTGTCGCACTGCTTGCTAAAACCTGGGGAAACAAATAATTATACAATGTATACCTGCGTGCGTATCAAAAAAGTATCGTAGAGGGCGCTAAACAACGGCTGCCGTAACGATAGCCACTTCGTAATTTGTTGATGTATAGGCCTAGTCGTGTTCCCTAACGTGGGGCACTTCAAAGCTTACTCGACTTTCCTCGTGTAGTGTTGCCCAACGTCTTTGTTGACAAACCTCAAATTCATGCAGTAAAATACTGGCTGGGTATGTAAGTAGAGATAATAATTGTTTATCAGAATTTAAGTTTACAGAAATTCTTAAATGTTAATTTGGAATTTTCCGAGATTTATTCCAGTGCGCCATGTTAGGGAACTCTCCGCCAATTTGTGGTGCTTTCAATTTTTTTATTAATTTTTTAACTTGTCAAGTTGTAACTTTTTTTTTCTACCCGCAAAATATTACCTAACATTTAGTCAGATTGAATTTAAACTAAGGATACCTGACAGTATGAACAGTTGGTCCTAGACTAGCCCCATTGATGATAATTGTGGCTTATATTTACTGGGCTACCTCCGTAATTACGGAGGTAGTCCAGTAAATAGGCCACATTTATGGGGCTAGTTCTAGACAAGTTACTTGTACATGTATGTCATCTTATAGGTGATATCTCTAATCTAGAGTACGTACTACAAGCATGACAAGTCTGATGGTTTGAAACTTGGTACTGTACATGTATAGACCCAGTAATTGGGGCGCTAGATCTCAAACTTTGGTCATTCATACGGTTACACCTCTATGTTCCGACACCCCTATGTTCCGACTGCACATATTCCTACTCCTAACCCTAACCCTAACCCTAACCAGTAACGCAATCGTATGTGCGGTTTGTCGGAACATAGGGGGTGTCGGAACATAGGGGTGTTGGAACATAGAGCAGTCACCATTCATACTAGCATCAGTCTTGCTGGTACAACCGACTTAAGGCAAAATTTGAAAAAAGGAGCTCGAGAACATGTACATGTACATGTACGTAGTACCTGCAGTAGACAGGGACATGTTATAGGTAAAAATGGGCATGACGTCATGATGTCTTCATCAATGTTCATGCAAGCTCGTCTTAAAGGTGCATATTTAAAAACCCTATATCTAGAAGTTCAAGTCCAATTGGGTTGGAATTCGGTATCTATTAAGACAGGGACATGTTATAGGTAAAAACTGATGACATTATCATGGGGTTATGTGACCGGATCTAAAACTTGCATAATTTAAAATCCTATATCTAGAGAACTTAATGTACATTTGTAGGTGGCTTTAATTGTCTAGGGATGAAAAATTGTGAGGAAAGTTGATTCCTCAGGAGTAGAGAAAATGATTATGGAAGTATTTCTGATTTTAGTTACCTAAAAGAAACCGTTTCTTACATGTGTTGTACATACATGTAACCCATCTATAATGACTGCATGTTTATTTCTCCCTTTTTTATAGCACGTTTACCATTGTTGATGATGATGTGGACATCAGAGCATTAGCCCCATCCTCTGAAAAACAAGATGACATTGACAACCCTCTCATGGACGATGAAACTCCTTTCGTTGCTGAAATCATTGATGAGCGACCCAAGGATGAGGTCATTCTGGAGCAGTATCGGACAAGCAACAAATGGAGGACAATGGGAGACGATGACCAATCCCGAGGCAGTAGACGTGCTGACAAGCATTCTATCTCCCGCGACGGAAAGTCTAGTCCTGCTACTGGGCAACGGAGAAGGCCTCGTCATGATTCCTCTGACTCGGACTTGTCCCCAGAGAGGAACTCAGGCTCCAGAAGAGGTGATACCAGGGGTGATAGACCCTCTGCCAGACCAGTAAGGCATGATTCAGACTCTGACCTGTCACCACCGAGGAAAGGACAGGACAGAAGGGGTGACACAAAGGGTGGAAGACCCTCTGAAAGACCAGTAAGGCATGATTCTGATTCCGATCTGTCACCACCGAGGAAAGGACATGACAGAAGGGGTGACACAAGGGGTGATAGACCGTCTTCCAGACCAGCAAGGCATGATTCTGACTCTGATCTGTCACCACCCAGGAAAGGACCGGACAGAAGGGGTGATAGACGCTCTGCCAGACCAGCAAGGCATGATTCTGACTCTGATCTGTCACCACCCAGGAAAGGACATGACAGAAGGGGTGACACAAGGGGTGATAGACCATCTTCCAGACCAGCAAGGCATGATTCTGACTCTGATCTGTCCCCACCCAGGAAAGGACAGGACAGAAGGGGTGATAGACCTTCTGCCAGATCATCAAGACATGATTCGGATTCCGATCTGTCACCTCCAAGAAAAGGACAGGACAGAAGGGGTGATAGACGCTCTGCCAGACCAGCAAGGCATGATTCTGACTCTGATCTGTCACCACCCAGGAAAGGACAGGACAGAAGGGGTGATAGATCTTCTGCCAGACCATCAAGACTTGATTCGGATTCCGATCCGTCACCTCCTCGGCAGAAACACAGACAAAACCCAGACTTTGACTTATCTCCTGCTCAGCAGGCTGCCCCCAGGAAGGGTAGGGAGAGACCAGAGGCTGACTCTCCAAGAAAAAGGGAAGACTCCCAAGCAAGAACTTCAAAGGCCGTGAGTGGGAACAGCAAGCGTGCGGAGAAGACATTGTCAGGTACCAAATACTCCTCAGGCTATGAAAGCCATCTTCAATTCCATGAAAGCTTATAGCACAAAATTTACTTGCTTAGCAGAAGCCAGTTACCACATTATCATGCGATGAACATACTACTAGTTAATGGTTCTCTGCCTATTTCTGTTTAGTACCTAATTTTCTAAGCCAATACTTTTATGGAGCAACTTTAAACAAAATATGAGCACATTTGAAATGCGAAGCAATAAAGTTCCAGTACAATACTATGTACAGCATCAAGCATCCCATTACAGTAAAACAAGTATGGTTTTTGGTTGGACATTCGATATTTCAAGTTGACAAACTACATAGTTCCCTCGGCTTTGCCTCGAGAGCTACATGTAGTTTTTTCAACTGCCAATACCAGCTAATAGCATCTGTGCACCCTCAAATCTTGTTGACATTTGTATTATTTAGAATATGTGCCATTGCCAGCTACAGGCGTGCATTTCCCACTTTTAAATTACCCATTTTTTTCATATTTACAGATTGTGTGCTATAGTTTAATACATGTAATCACCGAGTCATCAAAATTTAAGCCTCAAACTACATGCGTATGTATGTACCAACGATTGTCACCAACACATTAAATATGAGACTACACTTTCAAAACAATGCTTGATGCTTTAGTTCCTATTATTTTGGTTTCCATTTTTTTTCTTCAATTGTCCTCCTTTTTAAGCCTCTCTTTTTATCTCCTCTACCATTTTTCACCTTTCGAATATCAAACAGGAACAACAGCTGGTCTCTCAGATGCCAAGTCCATGCGGCGAGAAAACCAAGAATCCAGACGCCGTGATGCTGATATGTATTCCAAGATGGCTGACGATGTGTCAGGGAAGAATGCAAGTGAGTTGAAAACCCACTAATGATACTCTTGAATGCTACTTCTTACGCCATTGGATCCCACTTCTGTCACCATTAATATGCAACCTACCACACCATTAGAATCCCACTTCAAAAACCACTGGATTTCTGTATTTGAAACTCATAATTTTACCCTGTACTTAATTCAGTCCTATTTCTCACACAGTTGCTCTCTTTATCTCATGTAGGACATTTTTGACACCACATGTACCGACTCCAGTGGAATCCCAGTTTTAATGCCATTGAAATCCCACTTCTGACACCACTTAAATCCCACATTTGATACTTTAAATCCCAATTCTGATTTTGCAAATACCATTTTTGACTGTGGGAATCCAACTTTTGACAGTTGACATCCCACTTCTGACACCATTACTGACACAATTGAAATCTCATTAATAATAATAATAATAATACTGAACATTTATATAGCGCTCTAACTGTCATAGAAAGTACCACAGCGCTTTACACAAACATTGACAAAAATCCAAAAAAACACACCAGAAAACAGAACAAGAAATAAACCACATTCAAAATACATGAGTAAGTAATAACATATCAATTAAACAGATCAGTTAAACAGATCAATTAAACAGATGGGTTTTCAGGGATTTTTTTAATGTTGCTAGTGAGCTAGAGTGGCGGATGAAAAAGGGTAAATTGTTCCAGAGTTTTGGGGCAGCAGCGTGGAAGCTTTTCTCTCCAGTGGAAGTGGAAATGCCATTGAAATCCCATTACTTGACATGCTTGAAATGCCATTACTTGAAATGCCATTACCTACATCATTGAAATGCCATTACATACATGTACACAGTTGAGATCCCACTTCTGACACCGTTGAAATACCACTTCTCACACCGTGGGAATCCCCATTTTCAACTCATAAAAATCCCACTCCTCGGCACCTTTTGAAATCCCACCTCTGACACTATCTGAAATTCAATATCTGACACGATGGGAATCTCAGGTTTAAAATAACTGTTTACCCACATGTTAGTTCATTTTTGCTTTTTTTGTATAAAGAAACTGTGTTTCGAGACAAGTCTGGCAGACTGAGGGACCTGGATTCAGAGAAACGGCAGAAGCGCGAAGAGGACGCCAAGAAAGCACAAGATGACCAGAAATTTGTTGAGTGGGGAAAAGGGTAAGAATGCCTTTTTTGGGATTAATTGTTAATATCCCTTTTGCTTTGTTGGGGCCTTCAGTACAGGTTTATACCAGAGACAATTTTTTTCGGTGTGGCTCACACTGACCCATCCACAATTAGCCTTGGTCAAGGCGTTCGACGATAGAATGGTTAACCGCCAACAAAACAGTAGCCACGCTCTATGCACTCAGGTGTGTATTGCACAAAGTGTGAACAGCGACCTCAAGCGGCCATGCTACACTGTCAACTGTGCAAATCAGCTGGTGCTGTAAGAACGCCTTGAAACATCTGTGAGCCCTTGCTTAACCCTCATGCCCAAATTGTTTATTGACTTGGCTCTCCCCAGGACCAAATTGTTTGCTCATCAGTCATGCGGAAATCACTAGAGCGTGAAAAAAATGAGCACGAGTCAAAAACTCACTTTTTTCAACCCAGATTTTCACTGCCAAGGAGTGATTAAAATCATAGGTGTTGTGTGTAAAGTTTGTTCCTTGAACCTAACTCTTTTATGTGATGTAAAAATGAAGTCCATACGTGCAAATATAAGAAAGTTATACCTTTTTGTTCATCTGGTCCCAATTATCAAACTGCAAGCCATTTTACCACATGACCAAATGGCACTCCATACCTCAAATTGTGCGTGGATACTTCTGAAGCACTTTTCTCATTTTTTTGTAATGGTAACACTATGAATAAACCACACCAATAGAAAGATCCGAAAACACTCTTTCAGCTGGTATATAGTTGATGTATGGGTGGCCAAACATATCAACATGCCGCCTTTCAGAAAAGTAGTGAATATATCTGTGTTGAGGGTGTTTTGTGTGTGGTTTCCTGGTCGACTTAAGTCACCCATGGGAACCAGCAGGGGGGTACTTCTTGTCGACAAAAGTCGCCCATGGTAAGGAAAGGGTTAAGTGACGACCTTGAATGCAAATAAAGATGAGATTATTATTCAGTTCTTGGTCATGGAGGCTCATATTTTATGTGGACACAGAGCTGGATAGTGTGGCTACCTTCTCCAACAAGTTGGGAGTCCACAGACTAAATATAACATTAGAATATAACGAACAATTTACGTTAGAATCCTAATTCATTTATTCTGAAATTGAGAGACTGACATTTTTTAAGCCGAAATGCACCGCTGTTATGTTACGCCTCGGATCCTAAATTTATAGAATGGTCCTTCTCTCCATCTGGTACCCAGAGTCACGCAAAGCGCACAGCAGAAGGAGTTGGTGAAAAATACTCTGCAGGAGATGGACAAGCCCCTTGCTCGTTACCGTGACGACCAAGACCTGGATGACATGCTAAAGGGAGCAGAGCGAGAGGGAGACCCCATGATGGCTTTCCTGAAGAAGAAACAGACCAAGACACAAGCAGCCATGGGGGTTAAAGGTAGGGTGTATACCCCCATCCTCCACCTACCCCTCCGCCATCCCTCCCCCTCCCCCTTTCAGCTATAAGATTGCTGGGAAAAAACCTGCAGCCGATTTCACGAAACTTTTTTGACATTGATAAATGCAAACTTTAAAGGGAATGTACATGATTGGCTTTTGCTGTATTTTTCAGAAATGAACTATTTTGAGGGGTTAGTATAACAGATCAAATATTGTTACACTGACATGTTTGAAGTTTTGTGTTAGAAAATACTGGAAAAACGAAGAAAAACAAAAATTTCAAGTAGTCTGGTTCCTGACTTCACTAAAGATAAAATGGATCATTTATAGATGCCGGAAAATTGTAAGATAATGGAACCAGGCTAACTGGCCTGCACCCGTTCATGAACATGTAACCAATAGCAAACAAAATTTGGACTGAACAAAATTGGTAAATTTGGAGCAGAAGTTGAAAAATAGTTAGGTTTTTCCAATGGTGGTTGGCCGACCACCGTTGGAAATTTAAACAAAATACCACTTTTCTTGAAAATGACTTCACACATGGTGCCATAATTTTACAGGATGCTTTAGACTGTCATTTACCAACATCCTAGAAAGGTATTTCGTAAAAAAATGGTAGTTTTGTTTTTCGATGTTTGCAAATGTTGTTTATTCCCTTTAAGCAGCCATTACTTGTCAATGGAATATCGGATTGAACAATATCGTAAGGAGAATTTTATTTTCTTTCCTATTGCTGCAAACCCTCATTTTGACCTCTGCCCAGTTCTGTCTCATTTTGCCAGATTGTCTCACAAATGTCTTTTGAATTGTACATTTTGTGTTTTCCTCTTTTTCTGTTGGCAGCCAAACCTAAGTACAAAGGCCCCCCACCTCCGCCGAATCGCTTCAACATCATGCCAGGTTACCGCTGGGATGGTGTGGACAGATCCAACGGTTTTGAGAAGAAAGCCTTCGTGCGCCAGGCGGACAAGAAGGCAACAAAGGAAATTGCCTACAAATGGAGTATTGAGGACATGTAGTCATGCAGTGAATTCTGTGGCTGAAGAAGTCATTTTTACAAGCAGCAGCTGGCAGTAACTTCAGTCCGAGGGTGTCGCTAGAAGTGGGATCTGGGGGTGGGGGGGGGGGGTGTTTACACCCCAATCATTATTCTTTTGTGTCGGCATAATCAATCTCCTTAAGGCAAAATCACTCTCCTAGAGGCAAAATCGTATGTCTGTAGGCAAATATGCCGTAATGAATAGTGTCACCTGGAATGCGTTCGATTACTTCCCCCAGCTTACTCGCGCCTGGCTCCCCGCGTGATGACAGACCTGTGCAGTGGAGCTAAATAATAAACGATGTCGGGTAAAGTTTCGTGCAAGAGCTGGAAAGTTGAACTTTGACATGACACAGGCTGCATCCGAATCAACTGTCTAGAGCTAGGTCTAGGTCCACGTCCATTGAAAATGCGCGGGGACGTGCTGACAATAGACGTAGCCGTAGCTCTGGAAGCCCGTTTTGGAAAAAATGTTGCAACCTGACGCCACTTCAGCGGTTTGTGTACAAAGTCGATGGAGAGTCATTTCCTAACAAAATTGGAAATGTTTCTCAGTCCCAGATTCACGTGTTATCGTCATTTTTGCAATGAATGACCTTCATTGAGATGATATATGACAAAAAACTGGCGCCAGGTTGCAACATTTTTTTTCCGCCCGTTTCGGACATGGTCTGAGGCGACTGCCGGCAGCCATGTTTATTGCATGGCCTTATGGGATACTTACCCGAGTAAACCGGCTTGGCGAGTCGGTTACTTGGGCCAGGCTCGAGCAAGCGCTGAAGTCATGTGAGAGGTAAATCGAAAGGCTGTCACGCTTGCACGAGTAAGCGCGGGGGAAGTAATCAGATGCACTCCTATTTGTGTAATTCATGTAATAGTATATAAATAAAGTCGATATTAGCTCAAGATTCAACCTTACACCGTTTGTTGTCAACTTTATTTGGAGGGAACTTAATTGTGTTAAGCAAGAAGATCTTGAAGGCAGTAAATTGGGGTTGACATCACTTCAACTTCGAGTGATACTCTACCATGCATGAGTTTTTGGGGTCCTCATAAGTCCTACAAAATCGCATCCCCTGGCCAAATAAAGGCCCATAAGTCCGACGCCTCATAAGTCTGACGCACCTCATACGTCCGAGCCGACGCCTCATAGCTCTGACGCCTCGTAAGTCCGACAAATTAAACGCCTCGTTTTTCCATTGTCGGACTTATGAGGCGTCGGACCTATGAGGCGGAATAAATAATTGTTATGCCTAAGTCGACGCCTCATAATAAGGCGTCGGACCTATGTGGCGTCGGACTTATGATACAGCCCCAAGTTTTTAACCTGTGTGCGCGCTTGGTCAACAGCAAAACTAGTGGCCGACACATGATAGTGAATGTACCAGTGAAAACATGGCTCTCGATCATGAATATGTATGAGGTGTAGTAATGTCCTACATCATCCACTTTGAAAACGCCCCCCCCCCCCCCGGCCCCTCCCCCCCCCCCCCCCCCCCCCCCCCCCCCGGCCCCTCCCCCCCCCCCCCCCCCCCCCTCCCCCCCCCCCCCAGCCCCTCCCCCGGCCCTCCCCCACATTTTTATTTTGCGGTGGGTGACCACCTATTCTGCCCCATATCAGTTCCTGTTACTCTTTGTACCATCTGAAACTGCCCGTGCGCTCTGTTGGTTTTAGGTGCTACATGTAGTTATCATCCCTGATGTAGTCACTGATTTTAAAGGTTTTATGTCGATTGGATCTGTCAGTAGTGTGTACAAGGCCTACACAAAATATGCACAAGTATATTAGTGAACAGAAGAATAAATTAAACATCTGAGATTATGGTGTCCCGTATTTTATTTTCCAATAAACGTTGCTGTATTACTTTTTCAACTTTAATTGATAAAAGTCTCGGTCCAAACGGCAACTATGTCAACAGAGGGCGCTATGCGGTGCAGGTCACATTCTTGCGAATAAATTTTGTGGGAAAGTTCGGGCCGGCGGCCAGTCCAACAAACAGTTTTGTTTGCTGTCGCAGTTCCGACCATTCTGACTCGACAACAGCCTGTGGTCTGACCCGTTTTCAGTGACGTGAAAAGGACTACCGGAAACAGTGGAATTACATGATAAGTACATTTAGCAAGAAAATTGCCCTATGGTTGTATCCGGATCCGCTACATTCCCCAGAATTAAAATATAACCGCAGCCTGGCATGCATGTTCTACATCATTTTACAGACGGTGAATTTTTACAGTCATGGGCGGCGCGGGGTCGGGGCGAATCTTTTTTCCCCAAACGACATATCCTTCTTTTGATACTGTCCGATCTGGGGGTTGGTAGGTACGTGGTATCATATCATTAATTTGCCCCCCTTTTTTTCGTCCGCTAATACAAATGTTAGCCTACCTTTTATTCTATGGCTCAGAATAGCTGATTCAATGACTCCAAACTCGACTGAAATAATGTCTCAGTTGAATTGATGATTTTTTTGCTAAAGGTAAAAAACAAAAATGGAAAAAGTGCACGGTGCCTCACATCGCACCACAGACACAGGCATAGCCAGCGGGGGGGGGGGGGGGGGGGGGGGGGCAATATTGTCTAACTGAGACTGCCCTTTTCCATGTAAATGCCAATTTTTTTGCACCGGCGCTTACCACCAGTATTTTTGTAGGAGTGCCCTTTTTTATTTAAGAAGTATCTTTTTTTTCTGAACAAGTGCCCTTTTTGGGCCAGCGGCCGTTTTGGTGCCCGGCCTTTTTTTGTACATTTGACGCACGTATAGGCCTTAATAGCCCCCATATTGTTCGTTAGTGTGAATAATGGTCGGTTTTGAACAGCGCCCCCACCGACGGATGGACCCCCCCCTTTGATTTTATGGAGGCCCGAAGCCACTCTGGAGACACCTATGCAGGCCAAGTGATTAACTTTTATCACGGATGTGCAAGTGCAGTTTCAAAAAATTGTACCCCCAATCAAAATGACCGCGCTACGCCTATGACGTCTAGAACTCCGACAAAATCCCCCGGCCCCCCTCAAAAAATTATTTAAAAAACACGCCATTGGCACCTAGCCCGTCGTGCTTGCATAACTAGTTCTGACCAAGTTATGCCCCCGCCCCCCACCCCCCCCCCCCAAAAAAAAAACCTTTTTGAGGACGGTTATTGACGCCCTAGCCCCTAGGCAAAATAGGAGGGCGCTATTTCGAGTGGGCGTTTTAACAGCGGTCAAGTTGTGCTATATAAGCAGCATGTGCATGCATGTAGTGACAGCAACCGAAAAAAAAACCCAGCGGATGTCCAGCTTTAATTATAAGCCTACTAACTAGGAATTAGGGCCTATTACTTTTATAATTTTGGGATGTTATTGCAAGACAATAATTCCGTTCTCTTAGGGTGGACTGACTCCAGCCCCACAATCAGGATCGATACGGACCGGGAGCCAGTCTGCTTGCAAAGCAGATCTGTTTGTGCCCAAAACTAAACTTTTCCGAGGTTTGCAGACGTCAAAAAAAAAAAGAAAAAAAAAAAAAAGAGGAACAATGTTTTTAAGTCGGAATAAAAAATAGGCCGCAGAAATTGAAAATGTATTAATACAAAAAAATATCGAGTTTGTTGAAAGGCTTACGTTTTAATCACGCAATATTTTGATTGACTTTATTTTATCCTGAGGCACAGAAAAAGCTTTATGATACGGTAGGCTTAGTGAGATAAATTTAAGCTTAGAAGTTAAAAAATAAGACTATTAACCATCGTGGATCAAGCCCAAAAACATTACGAGGTGGAACCACGTGGAGAATTTATCACCACATGTGTTTATAGGTCAATAAAGAGTTAACATTATAAGCTTCATATAGATGGCGCAATCCTTCCTGCGGATGGAGGCAGTGGCGACATTTTGCCAATTAAAGCGACTCTCACTTCGCCGAGACATGACTTTCCAGCCATACATCATTACGCCAAATCTTGAAATATGCTTTCTTTCCAGCTCGGCAGGGGGCCAATCCAATTGCAAGAAGGGTTTCATTAAAACAAACACCAGAATTCCGAGTCTTTTCGACCATTAGGCCCCTATGTCGAAATATATTTATCATTTTTTCGCGGATGGGCTGGGGGGGGGGGATTTGCCCAACCCACCCCCATTGACACCCCCTGCGGACGCCAAGGCCAGTTGTTAAATGTGCAACATGATTTCGTGGCACCTCGTCTTCCTTTCTAAGTGTCTTGGTAGGCCATACTACATATTATTTTACACTCTTTAAAGTTGCTATTTGCTTCTTCTTTTTTATCCTTACGAATTAAATTTGCAATTTACATTACCAGCACGTTGTCGTAAAAGTTGGTACCTCCATACTGTCTTAACTTGTTCTTTAAAATGGAACTTGCGGTCGCTGGCGAAGTTAATGGACCGATCCAGTAAGCCCCGCCCACTGTGCACGTGCGCAAATTAGCACGGGCTCCAGATCCTCTCCAATGCCACACTGCATTTTCCTGCCGCGCGCACCATACGCGCGTGCACGCATGTCCGACTTTTGTGCACGCACGTCGGACATAAATCACGGCTGTGATTGGTCAGGATATCATGGGACGGTGCTTTCTGGACCGGTCCATTGAGCGTAATGGGGAGCAATAAATCGTCTGATATTTTCTACACCAACCCCCGGTGTAGGGGGTTTTGCGTAAATGTTAAATACCAACTTTTCATACGACAATGTGCAATGCTTAACAAAACAGTGGGCTACTTTTTCTAAGTGGAGTGGAGTGGAGTGCTGTGGCCTTGTGGTTAAGGGCACTGATTCGTGGTCTGTGGGTAAAGCTGCAGGTCGTGGGTTCGAGTCCTGGCGGGGTCATGGTGCGTGTGCCCTTGAGCAAGGCACTTGTCACTCATTGCTTCTCTCCACCCAGGAGTAAATGGGTGCCTATGAGGGCAGAGATGGTTATTGTGATTGAATTAGCTTCCTTGCGCCTAACAGGCAGCATCGAGCTGTATATACAGGGAGCTGAGATGGTATTTGGAATGTTAAATTGGCTCAATGATTAGGGGTAATAATAATGTAAAGCGCTTTGATCTTAGTTAAAAGCGCTTTATTAGAACCTGTTATTATTATTATTATTATTAAGTTGGAACTTCGTTTTTAACCGAGATTTTTTTTTTTTTATGCCATCTCAAACAGAAAACCCTCCTGTACGGTCGGACCACAATTGGTGGGCGATAACATCTGGGAATGTTTTACATTTAGCTCATCTCTTGCCGATCTTGCAGACCTACCTATTTTCTTCAATGGTTCTTGAATCTGGAGTGCTGAATGGTAACACATAGCAACCGATGAAAACTGGTGTGCAAATGAATAGATATTTTAATTGGATGACCGTCCCGTCAAACCGCTCCCACATCTGAAATCATGATTACATAACGTTTCAGCGACAGGCTGATTTTTTTCGTAATATGTCTCATTAAAATGGACTCAAATTAATGAGAGAAAACAATAGAAAAGAAAAGAGTAACTTCGAAAATGGAACAGGGATAACACAAAATATTCACTACTTAATAATTTAACTTTTGGAACAATGTTGTGGCGTCTCTCTCCGACTAAGTCATTTCGCTAGTAGTGTAGTCTAGGAAACAAGTTATGTTCCCCTCAGCAAACTAATATTCCAACGTGACACATAATTAAAGTCCAAAACGCAAGTGTCTTCGTTCCCTAATAATGTCATCAGACCCATACGCAGTCCTTTTTCTACGCACTGCACCTGGTGACAACGCGCGCGCGTTGCAAGCGTTAACATCTGCGCAGATAATGGATGGTTGAGGCATACGGAAACGGTGTCCTAAAGTACACTATCTCTTCATTTCATTCCAAATATTCTCCACTGTTGAAAATCCCAGATGAATATTGTTTCTTTTTTTGGAAACATAATCTTTATTTTGAATGGCCAAAGCAAGACGGCAACAGCGTGCGCATAATATGCAGCATAATCACATCAATTCGTCAGATGTCAAAAAACCCAACATGGCGTCGAGCGGAGGGCGAACGCCCGTCCAAGCTGCAACCCTGTCAGCCCCAGGCAGGTCCAAAACGCCGGTCCGGGTGGGCTACTACGAGATCGAAAGGACTATAGGGAAGGGGAACTTCGCAGTCGTCAAGCTAGCCACGCACGTCATCACAAAAACCAAGGTAAAAAGCCACTTTTTGGATTGAGTGTGTGTGTGCTGGTTGAGGGTCAATGCTGGATTTTGTGCACGATAATTGCCGGAGATAACGCTTGCAACCCGCGTGCGTTGTCCAACGCAAATTGAATGCAAGTGCGTCAAAACATATCCTCGTCATTTTAGGGGGTCTGACGATATACACTGTAGTGTACATCATGATAATGATGATGCATGCCTTTACACTACAGGCCCTATTAATAAAATTTGTAGTTTAGCACGACAACATGTTTAGCGAAACACTCCAGAGGAGGCAGTGCAACATTTGTGAATCTTTCCATGGCATGGTGGCTGTCGTTTATACAGCACTTATACATGATGTAGTGCGATATTCAATTGCTGTCTTTACGACACTGCAAAAACACCATTCATGCCATTGGGATCACATTTTACAACTTGGCGCCAATGCATCTGGCTGTACACTATCACCAGATCTGTAGTACGGCCAGAGCGGCAAACATCCCCTGGCAGCTGGATGGCTGAAACTGATTTAGTGAATTTGCAACCGACTTACAGTGAGATTATCTTCTCATCCAGCACCCGATTTCACGAAGCGCTGTGACGCGTCGCAACTCGAGTTACGACGTGTAGCACGTCGCAACTCGCGACACTTCGTTTAATCCATTTCACGAAACTTGCGTTGTGTTGAATGCTGCGACTGCGACACATCATGGAGATACGATACGTCGCAGTGCTGCTATGCATCGTACGTTACGATGAGTTTTATGAAATCGGGTGCAGGACAGAGATTTAGTTACAGTACCTGCTCGTAGAGCAACCTCATCCAAAACGCGTTCCTTTATCTACAAAATACAAATCTTCATCCATCTGGCCAAGAAATGACGATTAGTCTTCAGCTCATCAAACATCGTCTCAAAAACGTTCCTCCATGGGATCTCATAATGGTGGCCTGGTTTGCACGTTGTTTCTGTATGCATGCATTTACATGTGTAAGCGGGCGCGCCAGTTCATGACCTTGTGTTTGTATGGCTGGCTGTGCCATGCGCCTGCAAACACCCGGTCATGATCTGTGCAATGCATAACCTTGCCCAAGCACACCCACACAAACGACGTGCAAAACCGACATTTTGAAATCCCATGGAGTAACGTTTTTGAGACGACGTTTGTGGGAGCTTTGGAAACCTCTGTCCTGGATGACAAGACAATCTCGTTCAAAGTCGGTAGCAAAATCGCTACAATCAACATGATCAGTTTCAGGCATCCACGGGGCATTTGCCACTGGCTGTACTACAGAGCTTGTGATAGTGTGCGGCCAGAGGCATTGGAGCTACGGTAGTTCTAACCCCGGCCTTCCAACCAGAGCGCTTTGCCTTTGGTAGCTCAATTGGTTAAACCAATTTTGTTCTAGAATCACGTACATGTAGAAGGCACGATGTGCCTTCTAATGTACACGTAGCACTTTACTTCCAGAGCAGTAAGTAAGTCCTGTTGAAGTTGCTATGACCGAGAAGTTTTAATTTCTTTGTATTTTCCTACATTTGTGTGACTGTCCTGTCATGACCATGTCAGCCCCAGTAATTCGTGACATTTTCTTGACATGGTCAGGTACCTAGGCCCTGCTTCAAACTCTGTAAGAAGTCACACAAATTTGTGTAATTTACGATAATTTTGTTTAACGAGATACAGAAGTATCCACTGAACCGTCTGTCATCATTGGCTTTCCACTGGGAAAGGGGGGGGGGGTAGTCTATGTAATAGGCCATGGCGAATGCCGTGGGCTACATGTGTATTATGCGCGAACAGATTTGCTGATTAATTAGGCAAGACCCCGCCTCTTGACTTCCTAGATTTTGACCAATCAGCAGGCGCTTTCTATAGGTCTATCGGGTCTTTGTTCATTCACCTGTTGCGTGTCATAGACATGGATTAAAAAAAAAATAATGTCACGGCGCGCGGCGCTTGGTACAAACGCACTCCCGGCTGTTGTTGTATTACAAAACGCTGCATTCGAGTTACCCAATCACAGCGTTAGTCCTGATTTTGGGATGAAGTGACGTCACAATTTAGTAAAGTCGACTCCGATTGGCTGGCGCGCGGCTTGCATAAATCTGCATGCTTTGACATATCAGACGTTAGACAGGAGATGGCTCCGTGGATAAGGGGTGATACTCAGACTGGGGGGGAGGGGGGGGGGCCTTTGAATTTCTCGTACAAGTGTGGATAATGTAAGAAACTGAGTAGGTTTTTTTGAAAAATGTTACCTGGCTAGCAAAAGGATCAACAGTTAAAAAGGCAATATTGGTACATGTAGGCCCATGGAATGCCAGCCTATGGACAACTGGTAATTTGGCGATAGTCGTTTTGTAAGGCTCGCGCGAGTCGCGCTCAGGTGGCACGCATGCTTTTCTGGCTCCTTCGACGGTTAGGATTAATTAGCGAAAAGTGCGGAGTGCCCATGCATCATCTTTAAGAATGCATGCAGCATGGCGCGGACGTACATTGTAGTTCCACCTTAAAAAATGGCTTCTTATTTTGTTTGCCGAATTAGTCTATGGGCTACGTGCACAAGTACGGCTTCAACGGCCAGAAAAGGAGAGTTGGGGAAGACCTAGACTGGTCATGCTGGTTCCGGGTCCATCCACTGCGTATTTTTAATGATCCATAGTTATTGGGGGGGGGGGGGAGTTAATTAATCTGGGAGACCATCTCAATTTAAATTTGAGTGCCAGCGATGCCTGACGCTTATGCGAAGATGCTGTGGCTAATAGCTTTGGCACATTCAGGAAGTACTTCGCACAGGAACCAGTACAGTAGGCCTACAGTACGTACACGCTGTGTGTCCCGTACACGGGCTCTCAAAAGTGGTAAAGAAGTGCCCTCCTGTGTTGGCGCACGGAGCCCGTATTCCTCTATGTACCTCACTCATTGACTCAACAGCTGCCTCACTGTCACCTGTGAGCCGGGCAGTGCTGTCATACAGGATTCCCCTATAATGCCTGTGAATGGGCTAAAGCCTAGTAAAGCTGTCCCAGAGCGCACAGAATTCTGGTCTTTGGATTCAGAATGGCTGTTCACCGGAAGTCTTTACGTGCTTGTGGTCTCCATTTGTGTACACAATGGGCAAGATGTGTATGTTGTATAAACCTTAATAACCTACTCAGTGGCATTATGGGAGAAATCCTATTTTAAACTTTTTGGTCCAATACAAGCCTCAGGCAAGTCTTTGGCCCGTTTTAGATGCCGTACTACTGCTGCGCTGAACTTAATGAAAAGAGTGTGGAAAAAGCTTGTGTACAGCACAGCAAGTTGCCGAACCCTAACCCTAACTCTCTAGGCTTTTTTGCTAGGATGCAACCTCAATCCTGCAAAATCCTCCGTTATTTCTTGAATGTGGTCTTGGAGGGTGACCACTGCCTCAATCCTGCAAATTCCTCCAGCAATCACTGTCAGTATTATGATATATGTTGAGGCGGAGCCAGTGGCATCCTGGAGCAGTGTGCACAGAGGATTTTAAGTCCCGGTACAAGACGCCTAAATTTATGCATGGTTGAGCATAAACGACACAAGGTCCTGCCCAAGACCTTGACGCAGTGCATCCTCCAAAATCAGCCACACCTTTTTGCCATACATTTAGCCTCAATCCTTCAAAAGCCTCAATTTTGCAAGGAGGATTTTGGAGGATTTGGGAAGGGAGATAAATGTATCGGGGTTAATGGGCCTTGTTAAAGCAGTTCAAGCAGTTCAATGAAGTTTCAGCGCAATCAAAATGTTCGCGCCAATTTCACTCCCCCTGATGCGGAGTCATGCAAGAGAGGGTATTGTTAGCATGCGCATTCCTAAAATGTTTGCCCAACTTCGAATTGAATTGTGTTTAGCATGGCAATGGATTCGCGTTTAGAACAGTGCCGTGCCACTGCCATTCGGAACGACGATAGCGCAGCAGCCCTGTCGAGCCAAAGGATGTTGCCGGTGTGAACTCAATTCGCCGAGCCAAGTTTTTCTAAACACCGTGCTGCTTGTATGCTGAATTATAAAATGTCAAATTAATTGAGTTTGTCACGGCAGTAGAATCGCGTCTAGAATTGGCCTTTATTCACAAGTGACAGTCAGTCAGTCAACCAAGCAGTCAAGTACAAATGGGACTTTAGGCTTAATGAATCAGAGAAAATGTAAACAAAATTCTCACTTGCCTGTTTTTTGGTATGTTGACTGAATTTGACTAGCGCTTGCTTGAAATATGGTCTGACTGCTGGTGACTAGCCTGTGTAAAAGGCAGAGCAGGGGAAGTGGACGGAATTTTTGACTGTCTGTGACTGTTCAAACAGTAGAAGGTTAATACAAATAAAACAAATGGGATTTACACAATATCCAAAATCTTTGTGTTGGACTTGGGTCCAATGACGAGATTTCAGGAACCCTTTCACATCAGCAAGAAAAGGTTGAAAGGCTCTACGAGGGTAGAAAATCCCAAATCTACAGACAACCTGTGTACCCATAGTCTATGTAATAGACCATGGCGAATCTATTATGCGTGAACAGATTTGCTGATTAATTAGGTAAGACCCGCCTCTTGACTTCTTAGATTTTGACCAATCAGCAGGCGTTTTCTGTAGGTCTATTGCTCCGGGTCTTCGGTCATTCACCTGTTGCGAGTCATAGACATGGATTTAAAAAAAAAAATGTCGCGGCGCTCGGTATCATGTATACGGGAATGTGCTTCCAGCTGTTGTTGTATTACAAAACGCTGCATTCGAATTGACCAATCACGGCGCGCGGCGCTCGCTATCATGTTACCCGAATGAGCTCCCGGTTGTTGTATTACAAAACCCAGCATTCGAATTGACCAATCACAGCGTTAGTCCTGATTTTGGGATGAAATGACGTCACAAGTAAAGTCGACTCCAATTGGCTGGCTTGCGGCTTGCATAAATCTGCATGCTTTGACATATCAGATGTTAGACAGGAGATAGCTCCGTGGATAACGGGTGATACTCAGGCTAGTGTACC